GATTATATCTAACCAACATCATATCTAGCATAATTTTTAAAATATAAGAACTCGAAAATAAATCAATATATATTTTTATATGTATAAATTAAATATAACTGTATTATTTTTGATTTTAAAAAATTATCCCGCCCCCTCCTACTAAGTTCTGATTCCGCCCCTGCTGAAATGTATTTTACTTATTAGTAGTACTATTTTTTGTCCTTACCTAATTTTTAGATTATTATAGACTGCACACTGTCTTGATATTATTCTATATAACTTGTAGATCTAATAATAATAATAATAATAATAATATTATAAGATTGTTGAATTATTATATTCACATTAATACACAATAATATCTAAATATATTTTAAATTATTTATACAATGAGGTTGATCCGTTCTAATTTTGGTAGGGTAGGAAAATCTAAGTCTAATAATAACTTTTCTAGAGCTACTTATATATATATATATATTGATTTATTTATAATTAACACCCTCTTACTTATAAAAATTAGATACATTATTTATTATTTTTTTAATTTTTTTTTTTTTCGCGGGTGCTAAACATGGTAACTAAATTCAAAGTCTACACAAATTTAGGGCTTAGCAAGAAATGGGAGGCCCCTCGAAATAAGATTTTATATACTTCATCCGTCCTATAAATATAGTCTTAATTGGATTGAGCACGGAATTTAAGGAATATTGATATTATATTGATAGTTGGTAAAAAGTATGGATAAAAAACTTTTTTACCCTTGTGAGTGTATTAGTCTAAAAAGTAGAGACAATTGTGTAATAAAAATGAAAAATAGTGATAGTTTTATGGTGATATGGTTATTTATGGAAATAAGACTATTATTTTGAGATGAATAAAAATGATAAATAAGACTATTGTACTGAGACGAAGGGAATATATACGGAGTGAGTATATATTACCAAACTATTTTGTTCTGTCTTATATATATTTATTATAAAATTCTTCTAAAGCCACAAGTGATGGAGAAAGTATATATATATATATATATATATAATTTATTAAAAAAAAATTCAAAGAAAATCCAAAAAAAGTAAAAATAAAGGTAAAATATTTTTTTATTCAAATATTTATTTACCCACCAATTTTGTGTTGACATAATTCCCATTAAATATTAATAAAAAGAGTAAAAATTATTTTTGGTTCTATTATATATTACAATTATCAATTTAACTGTTAACGTGAGTTGACAACACAATGGTTCAAAAAATCATCTATTTCAGCTGTAAAATTTTTATTAAAAAATTAGATGTGTTTCTTTAGCAAAATTTCTTTAAATTTAATTATTTAAATTCTGTATTTTTTGAAAAAAATATATTTTTTCCTCTCACAAAATATTTTATCAAATATTATTTTTATACTAAATTCAAATTAATTTTTTTTCAAATTCATTAAAAGAAACGCCATTGATATGTAAATTTGACTTCTTGTAGTCAAAATATAAGTGATGTTTTCATAAACAAAGGTGATTGTGCTATGACTACTTTAATATGTGAAATATATACTGATTGATGCTTTTGAGTTTTTAAATCTCTTTACTATTTTTATTTTTTTTTTCTCAAAATTGAAAATAAAATCAATTTTTTATATTTTAATTACCTGTGTTGAAATTATTTTGTATTTTTATTTAAATATCTGCCCAATATAATGATAAGAGTTTTTGTAGTATAAAATATTAAAACATGTAAAGTGACCTCTAGCTTTTTGATTTTTTATTTGATTATGCTTTGAATTTTAGTTTTTATTTCAATTTTAATGTAAATTAGTACTTTGATGTGATATTTTGTAATATAATACATATTTTTTAATTTAAAATTCTATAGAATAAATAATATTAGTTTTGATTTTAAATCAAAATCAAACGCTTTATATAACGACGATAATTTGTGTTGATTGTAGTTATTTTTTAAAATAATTTTTTTAGGCTTATTTTGATTTCTTTTTTGCATAATAGTAAATTGAACATAATATTCTATAAGGAAAATAAAAAAATATTTTATAAAGAATTGTAAAAATTGCATTCCATAATTTAAAAAAAAAAAAAAAAAATCTTAAGTAAATAGAGTTTATTTGACATTTTTACTGATTTGAGCATATCTTTAATTTTAATGTGTTGAAAGTATATTTGATTTTTTTACTTTTATCTTTAAAGAAGTTGCTAACTTGTAGAAGTAATTAATTTATGCATATATTTAGTTTTATTACGATTGAACCCATGATCTCATGGTCACAAGTCCAACCCCTACACCATCATGTCATTATTTACGGGACAATTTTTTCGTTTCATTTTGCCAAATATTTAAATATTTGGAATTTCCAACACTAAAGTTTAGAAATATGACACATCTTACGTTGGATCCTCTACAGAATTATTGCTTTTTTTTTTTTAATGATTTTTCTTTAATAAAATGAAAAATTGTATCACAAATTAAAATTCTTTTTTCTTATATATATATATATATATATATATATAACTAATTTGATAGATCCTCATAAAAGTCTCTTTATGTGCTAATAAAACCAAATCCCCCAAATTTGGCATGCAATAACTTTGTTATAATTTGTTTTCAAGTTTATTTATATCCCTTTTTTTTAAAAAAAAAATTGTCATATAAAAATTGCAATATTTTTCTAGATTTAAAATAAGTAAAATTATTTTTATTTAAAATATTATATTTAACTATTTTTTTATAAATAAATTTAAATTTAAAACAACTCAATACCAAAATTATCCAAGGTACAAATAAAACTTTTTTTAAAAAAAATAAAAATAAAATTCTACTATCATGGATGTATTTGTTTTGCATTTTATATTATTTTTGTTTCGTGTTTAAATTTGAAGTATTTTTTCAAATTTTTTTCAGAATAACAAAATTTACAATATTATCACTGATGGACATGTATATTTCTTATATTCAGTCTAATTTAATTAAAAAATTAAATTAACATCTCTAATTTCACTCTTATAAAAATAATATTGAAATATTTTATTTTTTTTCTTAATTTTGGTATCCAAAAGTTATATGGATATTTTTTTTTTTGGTTGAATTTAGGAAAAATAGGTTTGGATTTTATATTAAAATAATATTTAATAAATGTTTTGTAAAAGAATAAAATCTATTTTTTTTTTTAATACGCCAGAATTCAAATAATAAAATTTGATTAAAGAAACAAACCCTAATCCATATATATATACACACATGTATTAACTCTATTCAATAATTGAGTCTTGAAGAAAATCTATCATACATGTTAGGTTTACATCAGACTAATTAATTTAATTAAAATTTTAGATCAAACGGATGATAATAATAGTAATAATAAATAATAAAAATAAGCAGAGTTGGGGGTGCCTGATTTGGGGCTGACGTAAAAAGAGGGGGCTGTGGTCGGTGACGCGTGTCAATCAGGGAGTAGTCAAACCGGTAATAAATAGTGTGTGGCTGTGGCCGTCCATTTTAGTGTTTTGTAGTAACGTTAGGAAAAGAAAATAAATAAATACATAAATAAGGCATTTTAAATGTACAAATAATGCAGTCACACCACACGCTTAATTTAATTTAATTTAATTTTTAATCTATTTGTTTTTTATGAAACAGATTTCAACGTTCAGTTCTTTAGCATGATTTGGATCGCACGCGCTCGGCACATGCTTCCCATTTCCCCAAATATTATTATAATAATTATTATTTAATAGATTAGGCACAACCACAATAATATATTTTTATAGATTGCTAAGGCACGGAGTAGCAAATATATTTTAAACATTGGGAAAATATTTTAGGTGCAACAAAAATTCATTGCAACTTAATTAATATAAAAAATACTAATTGAGATAAAATAAAATATTAAAGTATAAGGTCGAGCAAATATATATGTCGAATAAATTACTCAAATATTCTCTTCGTCCAGCTATTTATACTATAATATAAGAAGAGAAAAATTAAAAAAATAATATTATTTTAATGTAAAATTAAAGTATATAAAAAATAAAGTGAGTATTACAGTAGAAAATTTATAGAAGAGGTAATAATAAAATAGTACTCCCTCGTCTGGCTCCAAATGTCTCATTTACTTCTTACGTCATTATACTTAATATTAAAAGTATTTTTATATTTGTTTTTATCCAGTGTGCACTTTCGGGTAGCGACTGCGGATTCTCACGTTATCAAAAAAAAAAAAAAAAAAAAGGTATTCTCATATTTGTACAATTATTTTCACAGATATCATTATAATACTATTATAAACAAAGTATTCCTCCGACTCCAAGGATCTCTATTTTTTTTTGTTAATTTTATTTTGTTTGTCAGTTGTTACTACTATATTGAATAATAAAGTTAAGTAACAATCAATTTTTTTAAGTAATATTCTTTTAGTTTGATATCTTCTTGCCATTTTTATTTACTTTGATTTTTGTATTTAGTGTGTTGTTTGTCTTCTGAAGTAGTTATGAACAAATATAGGAGGTGCATTTAAAATACTACCGGTAAAGCGCGTGCAGACAATCATCACGTATAAAAGATTAGTTCTCGTTTATTTTTTCGGTTGAAATTTTGAAAATATTAAAATTATAAAATTAAATATTTCGTCGTCTCAATTATTATAATAGATTAAAAAATAATAATATTTTATTAGTGAGTGAGAGTGTGTAATTTTTTTTTGACATTTGTGTCTTTGACTTAATGAATAAAATAACTGTATGTGTAATGCATGTTTGTAATTTGTAATTTAATTAAAAAATAAGAATATTTTGATATTAGTGTATAATTAATTTTTTTTATTTAAATAAAAAATTGAATAATTTGAGTGGTATATCGAAAATAGTAAAATAAGTAGTTTAAATTTAGACTATGAAAGAATAATATTATGTGAAAAATATAAATATATTTTTAAAAAAATTAAAAAATAATATATATATATATATATATATATGTATATATATAGTGATAATTAACTAACCCCCAAATACCTAACAGGTCCCTCTCTCACTATAAATAGTGCCGCAGCCAGTCTGAACTTCTTCTACAAAATACAGTTTCACAGTACAAAATACAGTTCTCGACCGGCAATGGCGAACGGTTACAATTCCAATTCCTTCCCGGCGGTGCCGCTCCACCTCTGCTTCTTCCTCCTCATCCTATTCTCCTTCGTTGGCGTCACCTGGTACAGCACCTACGAGTCCTTCTTTGAAAGCCTTCTCGACCAGGTCAAGCTATTCCTAATGGTGTCGCCGCTCCTTTTGCTCCTCGCGCTCCACTTCCTCTCCTCGATTGACTCCTGGAGCTCCTTCTTCTTCATTCCCCTGCCGGAGCAGGACTCCTTCCACCGCGCCGGCGGAACGCCCTGGGGAGTTGGACTGGTCTTAGTCCTGCTCTTCTTCATGATCTCTTACCAGTCCGATTTCCGAGAGTGGTGGTTTCCTCTGCTCAGTTGACGATCCGATTCGACGATCTGCGCCTTCGATTGTGGAATATAGTTTTAGATGTTCCTGTTGGATCCGGTATGTGTAGTGTGTATATCGCAACTTTTGGTGCTTAATTAATCTCACTTTTGTTGTAGATCTTCTTCTTCTTTGAATTTGTTTTTGGTTTGGTTCTGCTCTGCTATATGCTGATGAGAAGAATTGAGGCCATAGCTATCACTGAACTTCCGAATCACTCTGTTTCATAGCTTATGATTCTGTGCATATTTCATACTGAATGTACATGTTTCACTTGGTTAATTACTTTGCATATTTGTTTGGAGGCTTCAATTCCGCCACAAGTCATGTCAATTCAATCGACTATTTGTTTCATATCATCTCGATTTCTGTTCTCCTTCAATACAAAAAATTATATGAAATAACTATTTGAATAAAATACAGTTGAATGTTTGATGAATTGAGCAGAATTATTCAATTTACTGTTGCTTTTAATTTCTCTATCCACCAGAGTCAATGACTGGTGAACTAATAATAGTATAAGGCCAGGGATTTTATGAATGCCATAACTGTAATGAATTTGTCACTAACTCAAATAATTTCTGTACGGTTGGCTCAGATTCATGTAAATGCAGAACGGTGAAGCTATGATTACTATTAATCCATATTTTGGGGATCAAAGTGTAAATGTAAAAAGTAGTTATTGTGAGCTGTATTATTTCGGCTGCGTGTGAAATGGGGAAATTATTCAATTTAAAATAATTCCTCCTTCGTTTTTTAACATAATTTTAAAAATATTAGTATTATATTAGAATATATCAAAAATAAAGTAAAAATAATTAAAATAGTATATGTGATATAAAAGTAATGATATTTGTGTAATATATTGTAAGTTGTAAATGTATTTGTAATGTTAGGTAGATAGTATCGTTACTAAAAAAAATGAAATAGATATTTTGTTATGGAACGGACTAAAATGAAAAAATAGCTACTTTATTATGGAACGGACTAAAATTAAAAATTTGATACGTTGTTATGGGACGGAAGGAGTATATATTTATTGAGAAAAAAAAGACTGAAAGAGAAACACAAAATGAAAAGAAAAGAAAAGATGTAAACTATATTAGGATTTTTATTTTGATTTATTATAAATTTCCTAAAATACATACACACAAAGATATTATGTGTATATATAGAGAGAGTAAATAAACACAAATACATGCAATTTTGTTGGGTTGGGATGGGTTTACTTCAAAATTTTTATATCCAACAATTATTTTATTTATAAAAATGCTTAGGGTGTGTTTGTTTGTAAAATAGTTTGATAGAAATTTTTTTTTTTTTTTTGTATGTAATATATAGAAAATATAAAAATAATAAATGTATCTAATGTATTAATTTTTTAAAAGAAATATGTGTGTTCAAAAAGAACACTCTGTTTAATATTTTATTTTGAATTGTGACCGAGTGTTACTTTTGGGCCTTATTGATTGCTATTTTGTGGTTCTTTGGGCTTGGCCCAGTAGTTTTTAAAGGTTGGGCTTGGCCTACTTAATTATTGATATGGGCTTGGCTCATGGATGTTACTATCTTTACCCTAATCAACTTTACCATATTTCATTCTCACCCACACACTTAGGGATAACAATAAGTATGGTTTAGTTGGATCCGAGACTCGAATTAAATTACATAATACTGAATCGTTTATATTCGAACTTGATATTAGGCATATTCGCTAAGATTCATATATCTTAATAAATCTTAAGAATTTAATTCAAAATTGGATTCAGATTCGAATCTAAAGTACCTCAAAATATATTTATTTTATTCAAAAATATTATATAAAATCATATTCCCCGGTCTTGCAACTCACTCTCTAGCAGCCATTTTGAAGGTATAAATGGCCATTCCAATGTACTTATAAGATATTGTAAGTTTGAATATATAATTTTAAGGTTAGGAATCCACTTCACACCACTAAATCATATTTGACGAGACTTTATAGTATTATTATTATTATTATTATTATTTTGATGATTTGGAAATCCGCAGTCGTTATCCGAAAATGCACGCTCAGTAAACCCTCGGTCGAATTTAACACTCTGCAAATTAGGGCCGACAAAATAAGTCACACTAGATGAACTATGTGTATTATGTGACTTGGAGGTATCGAAAATTTAAACCCAAAAACCTCGTTCCTAAGTAAAATGTAAACATTTTTTATTTTAATATTAATAGGTACCATAGTTACATGAAATAAATAAATTAAAATAACAAAATAAATAAGTTAATTCAAAGTTGCAGGAGTAACAAATTTTAGCACGTGGCCAAAATCAACGTCCACACCATTTTATTCTTATTCTTATTAATTAATTAATTAATTATGGTCCAAAATGAAAAACCTTTCATTATCTCTATTTTCTTCGCTTTTCGTGTCCCAAATATTTAAATTTTATTATTATTATTATTATTACTTGTCATGCCCACTTTCTCATTTACGGATGTTTTATTTGTTTTGTCATTTTTTTTAAGAGAATTATAAATTTTAATTTTATTTTAAAAAATTTAATTTATAATTTTTTTAAAAATTTTAATTATATCAATTAATTATTTTAATTTTATATTATAATATATTTTAATTATTTATTAATTATATTCCTCTTAAATTTTCTTAAATTCTTGTGTGTACTGTAAAACGGATAAAATATTCGAGCCCTTGGTATTATTTAATAGTATTTCCTTCAAGTAGGAATAAAGAAAAAAACGAATACTTATAAAAAAAAAAGAAAATGGGAGTGGTTATCATCGACGGTTCGACGGTGCGCACCTTCGTCGACGACGCGGCGCAGTTCGAGAAGAGCGCCGGCGAGGCCTTCGCCGCCCTGGACCTCAACAACGACGGCGTCCTCTCCAGATCGGAGCTCCGGCGAGCCTTCGAGTCGCTGAGGCTAATCGAGTCTCATTTCGGACTCGACATCGCCACGCCGCCGGAGGAACTCACGAAGCTCTACGACTCAATCTTCGAGAAATTCGACTGCGACAAGAGCGGGACGGTCGACCGGAAAGAGTTCGACGACGAGCTCCGGAACATCCTCCTTGCCATCGCCGACGGATTGGGGTCGAATCCGATACAGATGGCTCTCGAAGACGACGACCAGAGCTTCCTCAAGCAGGCCGCCGACTTCGAAGCCTCTAAGCTTTCTTCTCCGAATCCGAAACCCTAATCCCCAAATTTTCAGATCTGATTTGATCAGATTTTGATCCGACGGCTACAGTTCGTCGGTGGTTATTGGTGTTGATTTGCTTTTTGTATTGTGTTATGTATTATGATTATGTCCTGTAATTGTAATCAATAAATCAATGATGAATCAATCATCAAATGAAAACAAAAAAAAAGACTTATCTTTAATACTCCCTCCGTCCGTTTACTTACATTTACTTTTGGCGCGGTGTTTAAGAAATAATAATACGTTAATTATAGTGAATAGTTAAAAATTATATAATAACATTTTTGTCCTTACTTTTTTTTTGTAAAATTAATTATGTGACGTAAAGTAAGGGTATTTGTGAAAAAAAATATGATATTTAATGAAATGTAAACTTTGTAATTGAGCGTCCCAAAATAGAAATATGTAAACTTTGTAAGCGAACGGATGAAATATAATGCATAGATGTACATACTCTCTGCTCCGTTTTCACTTTCTTTTTTTTTAGTTTGAGTAAAAAAATGACAGTTTTTTTCAACTTTTTTATTACAAAAAAAAGTAAAAATTTTTATTTTTACTTATCTTTTTAAAAACTCGTACCGGTTAAATGAGCACACAATTGGATAATAGTGGGAGTAATATATTTCGAGTGTGTTTGTTTGGGGGTTTAGATTTTGAGTTGAGATTTGAATAGTAAAAATTTTGAATTTGAATAATTATATAATGTGATATAAATAGGTGTTGATGTGATGTTTTGAATATAAAATTAATTTTTAGTATAATATAAAAAAATAAAAAATAAGTGTTTAATTTGATATTTTTTAGAAAAAAAAAAATGAATAATAAAAATCTAATCTAATCCCCTAAGCAAACACACCCGAATATATATTCAAACAACGTTGTTATACTCCCTCCAATCTCATTGACTAAGAAATAATACGATTTTGATTAATAATAATATTATTTCCGTCCGACTCTAAGAGTTTTATTTATTTTTTACTTGTTGATCTTTAAGTATTAATTATTATATCATAACGCAGTACAAATTTAAAAAAAATTACAAAAATATTTCTATTAGTGTCTTGTAATACTAATAGAATAACATATGTATAAATTTTTTACAAATATAAGAATAATATTAATATTACTTATAATGACGTAAAAGGTAAATATAACATTTAGAAACGGACAAATAGAATACTATTTTATCAGTAATTGGTAAGTGGAAGTGTGTATGATATTTTGACATTTTTTTATCATTTGGCTTTATGTATAAAGTAATTGTATGTGTAATTGTATGTTTGTAATTTAAGTAAAAATTAATAGTATTTTAATATTAATTTATTATTACTTTTTCTAAAATTATGAAATAAATATTTTGAAATGAGACGGATAAAAATAGTAAAAATAATACTTTTAAATGAAACAAGAAAAGTACTGCATCAGTCCGGTTTTAAGGGTTTCATTTACTTTTTGCGTGTTGATATTTGAATATTAATTATTATATCAAAATGTAGTATGAATTAAGAAAAAATTGCAAAAATACTTCAATTAGTGTCTTATAATACTAATAGGATAATATTTGTATAAAAAATTATATAAATATAAAAATATTTTTAATGTCAAGTACAATGACGTAAAAGTTAATTGTGACTCTTAGAGACGAACGAAGATAATATTACTTTCACACAATAAATATATTTATACAACATAAATATAAAATTTCATAGTAAATATTTCTTTATGATATAATATTATACTCCCTCCGTCCACAAACTAATGTCCTACTTTTCTATATGAGACGTAAAATAACTATGGTCCTATTTCTCTTTTTAAACACAAATTTTATATTTTTACCCTCCATTCATTTACTACTTTTAATCTCTACCATACCATTAAAGACAAATTTGTCAATTCATAACAAAAAAAACAACCACCTAAAAAACTCGTGCAAATATACTTTAGGATAATAAAAATTAAATTATTTGCCTTTACTATTAATACTGATTGAAACAAATCAGCACTTAAAACTGCCACTTTAATTTAAATAAAGAATCAGTTAGAAAGAGAGAGCACTTGTTTTTAATTGAAAGCAAATTCACCCCAATTGGTTCGATTCGATTTAAGTTCATTTGCATAGAAATAAGTTAAACAATATAAATAAACCATTTTATTAACGAATAAGTTCGAATTTTATTCACGAACGATTCGTTAAAATAATTTATTTGTAATAAATATATATGCATATATGAAATTATTAGTTAAAAATAAATAAATAAATAAATCAAATAACATATTATATTAAATTACAAGAAAATATCATACATATCCAAAAAGAACTTCAACGAGTTTAAGTGAGTTGAATACAAATATAAATTCGAATAATTAAATTATTTGGTAAACCGAATTCAAATATTGCAAATAAGTTTGAGTACTTAACAAACAATAACTCTTGAGAAAATATTATTACAAAAATATATATTTTTTTTTGTCTGTAAAATTAATATATTTGGAGTTAACTTAGAGATTAAAAAATTAATATTTTATTTAAAAATAAAAAAAAAATAGTTAAATATATTTTTTAAAATTGTTTAAAACGAAGAAAGAGTAAAAGTAATAGCAATTATGATAAATAAGTGTTGATTATAAAATAATACTTCTCCGTTCTTCTTAAACTGTCTTTTTTTTTTTTTTGTTCGTCTCACATAATTTGTCTTTTACTTTTTTGGAAATATAATTATATATTTTAATTACATTTTAAAATTCATAATTTATATTTTCTTTTATTTTAATTAAACTATATAATCATATTAATTTTAATCTATAATTATTTTTATTAAATTATATGTATTTTTTACTAATATATTTTTTGATTATTTACTAGTTACACAATGCCTAAAACTTCGTGTCTAAGCTAAATGAGACAAATTAGCTGGAACACAAGGAATATTTAAATATTAAATATTTGATTTTGTCAAAATTAATAAGAAAATAAATTTAATGAACAAACGAAATATATATATATATACACACGAGTAAATTTGGTTAACGAAAGAAATAATAAACTATAATACTTCATCTATCCCTTAAAATGTACTCTAATTTAAAGCAAAAGAATTAGATTGAGGGAGTATTAATTACTCACTCTGTCCCACATAATTTGTCTCTATTTTTTATTTTCGTTTGTCCCACATAATTTGTCTTTTTCTTTTTTAGAAAATTAATTATACATTTTAATCATATTTTAAAATTTAAAATTTAAATATTTTTTAATCTTAATTAAACTATTTAGTTATCTTAATCTTAATCTATAATGATTTTTACTAATACATTTCTTAATTACTTACTAATTATACTTTGCCTAAATTCGTGTGTACAGTAATACATCCATATTACATGGGACGGAAGGAGTATTACTTAAATTTAGGGCTTGCAAACGAATTAGATCAGGTCGAGATTCAGATTCGAATCAGTTATAAACAAGTTAAATTTTTTTGAAATGAACCTGACTCATTTAATTAACGGGCAATCTTAATATGACATTTTTTAATCGGGTCAATTTGAATTTGACTTGTACAACTTATTTAAATCTAAAATTTTTAAATTATAATTTTCTACTAACAAAAATTTCAAATGCATAATATATATACATATTAAAAGTAAAAACTATTTAGTCATATAATGAAACTAATATTCTAGAGTCGTTTTAACAAACACTACGTAGTAATACACAATACAATTCTTTGATTAATCTTAATTTTATAGAATTTTAGTTTAAATTTTATTTTATTTTAGTTTTAATCTTATGAAATTGGCCATGAATATTTGAATTTAATTGGTACAATTTAAAAATAATATTAACTAATAGTAGGAGTTATTTTCAAATTAAAAATTTGGATCCAAACTTGACCAATTTAATTAAATATCCAAATTCAATTATTTTGGATCAAATTCAAATCGAATTAATTTTTGCCCGTCTTACTTAAATCTCATCTCCAGTACAAATATAATATAGGATAAATTATTTTTTTAGTCCAGTAACTGGACCCCTTATCATTTTGGAGCATGTCGCAAACTAGTCCCATAAGTAAAAAATTTTGGTTGTTTTAGTTCTCCAGCGCCAGAGATGTCCGTGTGGCTCGCCGGAAGCCACGTGTCCGCCAGGTTAGCGACACCTGGTGGACACGTGGATTTTATTTTATTTTTTATTATTTTTTATTAATTATTTTTTTTCAATTGAACTAAATAAAAAAATTTAAAAATAGAAAATAAAATTAAAAATAAATTTTAAAAAAATGAAAAAAATGAAAAAATAAAATAAAATCCACGTGTCCGCCAGGTGTCGCTAACTTGGCGGACACGTGGCTTCTGGCGAGCCACGCGGGCGTCTCCGACGGAGGAGTAAAACAACAAAAATTTTCCACCTATAAACTAGTTTGCGACAGACTCCACTTACAAAACTTAAAAAATAGTTTATCCTATAATATAATTGCGAAAGAAAAAGAGTATTTTATCAAATACTTATTAAAAATTTTAAATTATATATATTTTTTAATTTTCATTTATATTATATTAAAAATTAATTTTATTTGAAAATATCAAGGGTGTTTGGCAAATAGCTTTTTGAAGAGCTTTTAGCTTATTGAACAACTTTTAGTTGTTTGACTAGTCAAAAAATTAATTTAGGTGTTTGGTAAATTAACTTTTTGGATTAAAAAAAACTAATTTCTGAAAAGGTAACTTACCAAACGTTTTGAAATAACTTTTTTTTAAAAAAAAAAAATTTATTCCTTTTATGTCATTAAAAATTTATTATGCATTTTACACAAATAAATATATTATGATTATATTATAATATTTTATTATAGTATAGTTTTACTTTTATAAATTTAAAATAATTAATTTTTATATAAAATTATTTTAATTATAAAATATATAAATTTATTAAAATCAACATAAAATATAAAATATAAATATTAATAATTTATTTTTATATTAAAATTACATTATATAAATTTTATACTAAAAATAAATTAAATTTATTGAAAATTATAAATATAATAAACTAATCGATAACTAACATAATAAATATATACACTAAAAATTTATTATTTTTACTATCTTTTTCAATAGAAAAAACTATTTATATATTTTAATAAAAATATATTATTTTTTTAAATCTAACTGTAATAAAAATAAATACTTTTATAACACTTTTACAATTTTCAATAATTAATAACAAAAAATTTTAAACATTCTAAACTCAAAAAAACATAATTGAATATATTAGAAAGAAAAATAAAATAGAAATGTCCTCCATTATCATTTTACGTATAAACAACTAATATCAAACCGTTATTTTATCAAATATTTTAATCAAAAGAGCTAATCAAATCAGCTAATCAAATCAATTTAAACAAGCCTAGATAAAAACAAACAAAAACACGCCATATATTTATACTGTCAATTTCAATGTCTTCCGTAACCTACCCTAACCTAACCTAACCAAAGGTCGGCCTTGGAGTTGGCCCTACCCCACACCAGCTCCTGGACCTGGAGGACCAGCCCCACTCTGCACCAAACTTTCAGATTTCTTCACCTCAGCCCAAGCCAAATCCCTAATAAAAATCCCCAAATTTCTACACCCACACCCGATTGCGCCGCCGCGCCATGTCGTCGCCGCCGCCCGCCGCCGCCGCCGTCCCGCCCCGCCTCTTCTACCACCCAGCCTATTGGTGCCACTCCTGCGACATGAGCATCGGTCTCCCCCCCTCCCCCACCCCCAACGCCCTCCTCTGCCCTCACTGCCACCGCGATTCCCTCGAGCAGATGGACATGGACGACTCCGATTCGCCGCCTGCCGCCCCTCCGAGAACTGCTTTCTCCATGGACAACGCCTCCGCCGCCGCGACGTTCGCCCCCGACGACAATTTCCTCCTCAACAGTCCCTACCTCCACCGCCTCATCCACCACCTGACCGCCACCTCCGCCGTCGCCAATCCTCGATCCGATCCGGCGCCGAAGTCGTCAATCGATTCCTTGCAGGAGGTCAGCATCACCGCCGAGAGTGATCCAACTATGCTCTGCCCGGTCTGCAAGGACCCCTTCGTAGTCGATTCCGTCGCTAAATTGATGCCGTGCAAGCACACCTACCATTCCGACTGTATCGTCCCCTGGCTGGAGATCAACAATTCCTGCCCCGTCTGCCGGTTCAAGTTGCCGCCGGCGGTCGAAGACGGGAGGGCGGAGAATGAAGGCAATGGATACGTCGGACATGTGAGGCTTGAAGAACTGGTGGATGATGAGGTCGATTTGTTTGGATTTAGGAACACTCTGAGACACATTGCTCGCCGCCATCGTTGGAACGATGAAGGAAACATTGGGAGTGGAAGCGAAGGGAACTTTTTCTCCCCCACGCAGATCGCGGAGGTGGAGGAGAGAGGCGGTGGAAATTCGGAGAGGGAAAACAGTGTGGAGACTGTTTCAAGTTGGCCTCGGTGGCCCGCGGAGGAGAGAGGGTCTGGCGGCGGTGGCAATGCCGCCGGCGCCGGCGATGCCTTTTCTAGAAGTTGAATTTATACTGTTTTGGTAGACATTAGAGGTATAACTTCCTGCCCTTTGCTATTTTCCCTTTAATCTATTCCTAAATTGAATTGCAATATATAATCTGCAGATAATATATAGTTTGATATGTCATTTGCTTATTTAATTCGAATCGAATGAATTCCACTGCTATCTGTTTACCATTTGTGTTAGTTGCAGTTTCTTGATTCTTGTCGAAAAGATGTATCTTTTGAATGGATGGTTAATTTTAGTGAACTTGTTTCGACTTGTTTTTAGCATATGGGCTGTGTCCCGAAATGTCTGTTGTTGAAATCGACATGTCAACGATCCGCGGTCCTCTTCTTGGTTTTGGATAATTTATTAATATTTGGCTGCAATCAAGAGTTTTAGTATTTTCTTCCTTGGCATTTGGCCAGGATGTCGAGAGGCAGGGGCCGTTAGGAAAGTATGTAAGATGCTTTTGCATAATTATAATTTGTTTTTCGTCCAGGAATTCGAGCATATTCTGTTTTGGTGCTTGGGCAAAGAATTGGCTTGTTCTGGTAGGTGTAAATTCTTTTTTTTTTTTTTTTTTGAGTTCGAACATTATGCTTAAGTAAACTTTCAACAAAGTTATCATATGTTAAGATTTATATTGTTTAGGGGCCGTGCCTAAAATTTATGTTTTTTCGATGATTTGTAAAAGAATAGTTTCATTCTTTGATGATAACAAGTAGTTTAGAGGTTAATTTATAGCATTGGATTTTCGCGCTCTAATTCTAGGATGTCTCGACAGAATTTTTTTTTTTCCCTTGGTATTAAGTTCTTGTCTGCTCGAACACATTTCAAGTTAATGTAATTGTGGGCTATATATTTTATAAGATTTGCTTGCATTGTAATGTTATTTCGTCATGTTGGCGAATGAACATCGGATGGATTATATGTCTCGACTGTAGCCTTGTTGCTGCTTTGTGTTCGAACTTTTAAATTTGCGTGGCTGCAACAAGTTCTTGTAAATTATCTCCCTTACAATTGCATTTTGGGTAATTCTTGTTTCCAGGTGATGTATATTTGGCGCAAAAGCCGGGCCTCGCTGTTCCTGTCTTGGCCCTGCCCGGCCGGCGATAAGCCTACCTTGGATCATATGGTGTAATGGAAGTGTAAATTTAACATGACTGACTCTGCTAAACATTCAAATGTGAATCTTGCCATATTTTGCTATCTAATAGCCAACAATATATCAATTCTGAATATTTCACCTGCTATTTTATAATTATCTGTCAATTTAGGCCTCTTTTATTGTCAAAATTTATTATTAAATTAATCTGTGATTGTGTTATTATTATTATTATTATTATTTTTTGAAATACAAATTCTGAATAGTAAAGTTTGAGAAATTTTGGGTGAACTATGTTCTTTGATGGTATTAGAGGTTTTCTGAATAAGAAGGGTCAGACTTACTGAAAAATACCCAAAATTTTGGTATATCAATTCTTTATGTAGAGTAGTTATTTAATTAATACTCCCTCTGTTCCAAAACATCCTGCAACATATTTTTTTATTTGTCCTAATTTCACTGCAATATTCTCAAATTTAGAAATAATTAATAATATTTATATACATATATTAATATATATTTTACTTTAACCCATAACATCACTCAAATAAAAAATAATACTTCTTACCTAAATTTTCGTGTCAAACACAAATGTTGCACGGTATTTAGGACGGAGAGAGTATCATTTTTGTGTACGTATATACACACACATTTTATATTGTTCTTTCTGAAATTTTTTTGTGTTTGTTTGGAAGATTTTATTGGGGTTTGATTCAAGTAAGAAAAAACTACAATTTTTGAATAATTATTTGATTTGATATAAATAAAAATTGATGCTATTTTTTTAATGTAAAATAATTTTTAGTGCAATATAAAAAATAAAAATAAAAATTTGATTTATTTTGGGGGTGGAGGGAATGGAATGAATGGTAGAAAATTAATCAAATCACCAAACAAACACAATATATCAAATTCTATCACTAGCATTGAGCTTTTGTCTAACACCAAGTTAGGAGTCGATAATTTAATCGATACCATGTTGATTGTCGTCTATATTTATTTCGATGATTATGTCATTTTGTCATCAATTATATGTATATAATTCACGTAATCTCGATCAAAAGTAATTTAAGATCAACGTGATGTTCACGTGTTTTTTATTATATAAACAAATGATTGGCTAGATTCATTTGGACATCCTGGAATTTCCAAAAATTAGTGTACATACACTTCTACATAGAATTCAAATCATTCGATTAATCCTAAATTAAAATTATAATTGATTTATGTATTAATTCCAAAATCAAGAATGACAACGGTTGGGATAGTCCAAATGTTCAACCTAGCTAATTTTGGTTGAGTTCAATTATTCTAACATCAAATGAAATATAAAAGTTTAAATTTTCAGGTCAGATTTGGATCTCAAATATGCTTTCGAATTCAATATGATCGATCTGAAATCGACTCGAAAAAAATAATTATAAAATCTATAGTTATAAATAAAAAATAAAAAATGTAAGCTTCAATTATAAATATAAAAATTATTTGCATATTGAAAATATTATTCTAAAATTTTCAAAAAACATATTTAAATTCTTGTATATGAATATAATGGACTATAGGTCACCTTTAAGTCCATTGCCATGGATCATCGATCATCATCATTCATTGCTTATTTTTGCTTACAATTGCCATTATTGTCACTGATTAATTTTGAAATGAATAGAAATGAAAATTGCAGCCACTATGACCACTATGCATACAAAGAGAGGATGATCACTCCTTTCAATATTTCGTACAGTTGAGGCAGATTTTGTCGTCGATCTGGTCAAGTCAACATATACTAATCCATGGTGCTGATTTGACCGGAGCGATTAACATATGTTTATACATATTTCGGTATATACCGTATTATAAGATAACATATATTGATTTATAATATAATATATTATAGTATTATAAATATGCTGAGATATGTATAAATAATTTTTATCACCTTTATATATATACTGATCCGGTCAAATCAACACTATGCTGACTTATCGGATCAACAACTGATCCCAATCCTCTAATAATAGTACGCCTTGATATCCCAACAGCTTATTGGATCAACTGCTGATCCCAACACCTTATTTCTATAATAATATGACAATAATTTCTAATTGATTTATTTTATTACTTATTATTTAACTAAAATAAAGGATGCATTTGTTTAGGGTGTATTTCTTTTGTTTTTTTCTCTTATATATTTTTTTATAAAAAGCTTAATACTCCCATAACAAAGTATTTATTTTTCTATTTTAGTCTGTCCCATAACAAAGTATTCATTTCTTTTTTTTAGTAACTGTACTATCTACTTAACATTACAAATACCCTTCCAACTTACAATATATTACACAAATGTCATTACCTTTATATCGCACATACTAATAAGGTTATTTTAGTCATTTCTACTTTATTTCTACTCTATCTCAATATAATACTAATATTTCTAAAACTACGTGTAAAAAGCAAACGGATACTTAGTTTCGGGACGGAGAGAAAGGGGGAAATAGCAGAGAGGTTGAGGGCTTCGCTATTAAGCTACCCCTCGTCCCCACAAATCATATATTCTAAAATCAATCAATAATATAACATATTTAATTAAATACTATATGAAATTAACAAATACATACAACATAAAACATTTTAAACCTATTTTTGATTCAAAATTTTGCCCTAATTAAAATACTTCGAACACACCTTAAAAATCTCAGTAGAGCTAAAGCCAAACCTTTTAAACTAACATACGACCAATTTTGTCAGATTCTCGTCTCACTTAAAAATTTAAACTAGCGAAGAAATACACGTCCTACAGTCGTCACATTCTAACATATTAAATGATCATTAATTGCGAGTTATATAGCCTACCAACAAATTTGATCTTCCTAATCTCTTCTCTTCAATGCACAAGAAAGCACATAAAGATCAACTGAAAATAGATACCAAGACAACCTAGTCTAGCTCGATTGGATTCGAAGGCGTACCGTAAGAAACTGTAGGTTGTCTGAGTTCAGGAGGGACTTCATTCTTTAGGACATGAACTTTGAACTTGATACTCACCTCGCTGCTCGCCATCACTTCGAAAATGCAAACGTCGCCGACTGCCAGCTTGTTCTCGTTCGCAAAAATCCTCCAACCGCCGTCAAGCCTCGGGTAGCTCAGACATCCTTGGTAAGACACTCGCCAGTTCTTGCATTTGTACCTGTTACATTTCACAGAAAATTTTTAGAATTGCATATTAATAAGGTAAATTTCGATACAAACAACAGTGTTATAATATTTTTTTTGTATGAAATTCCTTATATTTAATTTATTGCATAAGTAACGGTTATGATATGGAAAAATTATCATAAAATTCTCATACCGTCTATAATTAATGGGGCGCTCCAACCCATGCTCTATTTTTGTGAGTATTATAAAAGGGGTACACTAATTTTTTTTTTTATAGAGACACATAGGTACGAATACTTTGTTTGGGACAAACAATTACTTATTGTAATGGTAAAAAACAAAAAACTAGAAACAAACAACGAGGATGACACGTCTAAAAACTTCAACTTTTGAAGGTAGAGTTGAATTTATGGTGTGTTTTTCATTTACCATTACTATGAAAAATTATTTATTTCGAACAAATTATTCATAACTATGAAGAGTAATTATGCATTTACATAAAATATTTGGGCATATTCCTTTATAAGACATGCACAAACAATGTGAGGATTGAACACTCTATTAATTATGGACGGAATGAAAATTTCGTGTAAATTCTTCTATATCATAACAGTTAAGTATGCGATAAACTAACTATAAAGGATTTTGTGCAAAAAAAACACATAACACAAATATCTGTATTGAAATTTACCCTACTAAATAATAATAAAATGAAAGACCTACGAATAGGCATGATATGTACTTCGATAATAATCAATCTAATCTAATAAATATAGATATGAATATTCAAAATATCTCAACAATACCGAAGAACGGCCGGAACTGTGGCTCGGGGAAGTTTGCGATAAATTCGCGCCGGGAATACCTGTGGAGACAAATCAGGCACAGTTCCTCATCAGTAAATCTGCACAAGTTCTTTCCTATCAAAGAATTTACAAGGATCCATGCTTTAATTTTCATTCATTACAAATGAAATGGTTATAAATAAATTACCAGGTTGTAATGAGGGCAGGTGTGTGATCTAGTGATATTTATGTCAAAAAAAGGCTTCCCCGAGAGGAAGGGAATGCCATCAAAATCCTCATTTGGTACAGACTCCATTGTCTTTGTCATTGAGTTTTGGATCTTCTTGCACTTCATCTGAGGGGTTTCTGTGTTAACTTCATCTTCGGATAACTACAAGAATATTGTATCAAAATCAATTTAATTATATCACGTTTTATACTCTACTGTTCATATTCAATTTTCTTTTACAATTTTAAATCCAAACACAAAATCCAAACTCATAACAAAACCCCAAACGAAACACAGATTCTTCCTTTCCATCAAAGCTTAAAAAACATAACAAGAGCAGTTTGAATTGGAATTTGAATACTCAAAATTCTAAGACTATTATCACTTTTTTGTATTTATTTCTATATTTACTTAAGCAATTGAGCTTGAAGTTCATGATTCGCCAATGCGAAGTCAAAAACTGAAACAGAAAATTAAATCGCGATATACGATGCTAACAAACGATCGGTTTAACAACTATTTCGCGCATGATTTGGTGTGAATCGACCAATATTACCAAACGATTTGCGCACAAAAAATTGATGAAATAGAAAATAGTGAGGAATTGAAATAACAAAACGCATGAAAATTACTTTTAAAGGAAGGAAGGAGCTGAACTTACCATTTGTGCAGCAGAAGGAGAAGCCTGCTGAAGAAGACGAAGAAGAATGCCCTGGAAGATTAGGGCTGACATATGTTATTTGAATTATTGGGCTTCGCGCTGCCCTTTTCATTCAATACATTTCTCATGTTTTCATCAATCATTTTTAAATTTTATTTGAATCAGTGACCGTACGTCATACTCTCCCTCTTTTCTTTTTAAGATTATTTTTTACTCTCTTTCTCCCACATAATTTGTCCCTGTCCCTGTTTTTTTATTTTCGTCCGTCCCATATAACTTATCTTTTTTATTTTTAGAAATATAATTATGCACTTTAATTTCATTTTAAATTTTAAATTTTAAATTTTATAATTTTTTAAATTTTAATTAAACTATTTACTTATTTTAATCTTAATTTATAATTATTTTTACTAAATAATAATTGTTTTTACTAATACACTTCTTAATTACTTACTAATTATACTTTACCTAAATTCCCGTGTATATGGTATGTTTCCTTCAACCAATTTTTTCAAAATTTATTATTTGAATTCTACATTTTTTTCTTAAAAAAAATTTACTCCATTTGTTCCATAATTAGTATTCGTTTGCTCATAATTTTAAAAATATTTGTATTATATTGAGATATAGTAGAAATAAAATAAAAATGACTAAAATAACTTTATTAATATTGTGTGATATAAATGTAATGACATTTGTGGAATATATTATAAGTTGCAAGGATATTTGTAATGTTAGGTAGACAGTTAAAAAAAAAAAAATTGATACTTTGTTATAAGACATGACTAAAATGAAAAATATAAATAGTTTATTATGAGACGAAGGGTATATTTTTTTCTCACAAAATATTCAATCAAATATTATTTTTAAAATCAGACTCAAACCAAATTTTTCAAAACTCAATCAAAAAAAACACACTCTAAGTTAGTAAATACTTTCGAGTGAAAAAAGCAAAATTATATATAATTCATATATAATTTGAAAATTTTGAATTATTTTTTTTATCTATAATTTAATAATTGTATAAGACCCTTTTATTTTTAGATAATACTATATATAACTTCCTAAAAATTTCGTATTTTTTTTTTAAAAAAAATATTGCACAAATCCCTAAAAAGAAAATTTGTTTAAGTAGTGTATTGAGCATTTTGGAGTTTTGTTTTACAAAAATAAGTATTGTATTTATTACAATTTCCTATAAAATACATCTCATAAAATAAGATATGCAAATTAATTATTCAAACAAAAGTTTTCAAATAAAAAATAAAATCAAACTCAAAAAATATATCTATCCAAAAAAAAACTTTATAAAAATTTATGAGAATTTTGTATCTATTCTATCAAATTAAATTAAATGGCCTAAAAATTTTCTTGTGAGATGAGATTACTGTAAAAAAAAAATAAAAAATGTCATTATATTTAGGGTGTGTTTGTTTGGGAATTAAATTTTAAATACACTATTCATCCTATTTTTTCTCTAAAAAAATTAAATGAAACACTTATTTTTCATTGTTTATAGTATATTAAAAATCAATTTTACATCGTATCAACATCTATTTATATCACATCATACAATTATTCAAATTCAAATTTTTTACTATTTCCAATATAGCACTTTGATTGTCTCGTAAAGAATGATTTGATAATATGACGATAAACTCTTTATTACGAAGTAATTTGTTTTAAGCATATTTTATATTATTAATTAATACGTTTTTCCGTCCGCGAAAATTAGTTACACATATGTATGTTATTAAATGTTGCATATTTATGTTTTTGAATTTTTATTTTCTTGTGAGATATGACATTTAATTTATTTTAGAAATTTATTATTAAATACTTTGAGTAATTAAAATGGTACATGCACACAAAGTTGGAAAATCTCACTCATTGAAAAATAATTCTTTCAAAAAGCCTTCACTCTTTCCATCTTTGAATCAGATTCCACACAAAAGAAACAAAATATAAAAGAAATTCCATGGTTTATTATTATTATTATTATTATTATTATTATTATTATTATTATTTGTTGTTAATTTATTCCCGAATCTTTTTAAATTTATCGAATAAAACCTCTTCTACAAAAATACGATAATGAAGTTGACCCAGTCCCAACATTATTATTATTATTATTATTATTATTATTATTAACAAACAATATTCAAAATAATTTGTCTCACCATATTTGTTAGTAATTTTTGTCTTCTTTTAAATTTAACTTATTTGCTCATTTTCACTAAAAATTTAGGGGTTGTTTGTTTTGTGTTTTTGTTTGAAATAATATTTTCTATGTAAAGTATAAAAATTTGTGTATGTAATATTCCCTCCGTCCCAAATACCATGTCCACGTTGCCGTTTCTGTCCGTCCCACATACCATGTCGCTTTTCTTTTTTGGAAAATGATTACACATTTTAATCTCATTTTAAATTTTTTTAATTTTTTTTAAAATTTTAATCAAACTAATTAGTTATCTTAATCTTAATTTATAATTATTATATTATAGGATAATTATTTTCACTAATACATTCTTAATTATCTACTAATTACACCGCTCCTAAAATACCGTGTCTACAGTGTAGCAGACATAGTATTTGGGACGGAGGGAGTATAAAAATAATAAATATGTGTAGTATATTACTTTTTTAAGGAAAGATAAATTTGTTAGAAAATTATAGATAAAAAAACCAAGTTTTATTTTACATTCAAAATATTGTGTCAATATCTATTTATATTAAATCAAACAACTATTTAAATTCAAAATTTTGTTATTAAAATATCCAAACCAAAAAATCGATGTTTTTTAAATTTTTTTTATTTTTCATATTATATTTTCTTAATTAATTACTTGAAATAAACGTGTGTACATATAAATCCAAAATAAATCTCCATCAAAACCTACCAATCCTTTGTCGGATACTCCTCTAAATAAATAAAATGATTCCCAAGCATTCTTTTCCATGGCACATTCTCAACTTTCTTTATTCCGTGGGCTTCACACTTCTTGCAAGCTCCATGGACCCCAGCGCCAGATCATCCCAACCCATCGGACGGCCCAGATTAATCCCCATTACCAGTTCACAAATTAAAGCGTCCAAGCAAGAAGAAATCCCCACCGTTGATTCTCTTCCATCACAAGCCAATTGAAACATCAAATATATATATATATATATATGTATATCGTCTGCTATAATCGATTGATTTGATTCAAATTAAAAACTAAAACTGAAATCGAAAATGGAATTGGAAGAAATTGGAAGCATGGCGTGGAAGATAGGGCTGTTCGTGGTGGTGCAAGGGCTGGTTTATCTGATCCTCTCACAGTCCTCTAATGTCTTCTCCAGAAGACCCGCCGGAGTCGGAAGCTTCAGGCCGGCGGCGGCGCGGTCGCTCAGCATCCAGCGATGGGCGGCCGCGCTCGCCGACGTGCCGGCCGCCAGCGCCGACTCGCCGTCGCCGAGGTGGACCGCCGGCGGGTTTTTCCGGTCGTTCAGTGGTGGTAGGGATCGTTAGTTCTTCCTAGCTCCTCATATTATTAGTTAATTAATTAATTAGGGTTTGATTATTATATGTTGTGTTAATTAATTGTTGGTGTATGTGATGAATTGAAGAAGCTTTGGTTCATGGATATATATGGATTCTCTCTATGAATATATACACAAAGAATGTTTATATATATATATATGGAAGTTAGTTTTTTATATAATAATAGTAATAAAGAAGAAATTACCATTCAATTCTCAAGATTAATTACAAAAAATTGTAGTAAATTAAGAAATAATAGTAATCCCTCGTTCCATAATAAAATATTTATTTTTTCATTTTAGTCCGTTCCATAACAAAGTATCAATTTTTTTTTTTTTTATAGTAATTGTACTATTTACCTAACATTACAAATACCCTTATAACTTACAATATATTACACAAACGTCATTACCTTTATATCACACGTAATAACACGTAATAATAAGGTTATTTTAGTCATTTTTATTTTATTCCGACTATATCCCAGTATAATACTAATATTTCTAAAACTACGTACAAAAAGCAAATGGATATTTACTTATGAGACGGAGGAAGTATTTTATTAGTTAGTAGAAATATATAACAAGTTTTAACATTTTTACTATTTAACTTTATGTAAAAAGTAATTGTATGTGTAGTAGTATGTTTGTAATTTATGTAAAAGTTAAGGGTATTTTGGTTTTGATGTATAATTACTTTTACTAAAATTAGAAATGTATACTTTGGAGTGCGATAGACTAAAATAGTAAAAATGGTACTTTGAGTTGGGACGGAGGGAATAGTAATTACTCAATCTCATATTTATCAAATTTTAGAAATATTAGTATATGTTAGGGGTGTAGTAGGAATAAAGGTAAAAAATTTAAAATGTCTTCGAGATAAAAATTTATTATAGTGATATATTTGTAACATAATGCAAGTTTAATGGTAATTTTAATAGTATGTAGGTATTAAAATTACTAAAAAAAAATGAATATTTTATTTTAGAACAGACCAAAATAGAAAAAATAAGTAGATAATTAAAGGACGAAAAAAAGTATAATTTTTATTTACAAAATATTATGTTCAATTTACAATTTAAAAAAAATAAATAAATACTTTGAATTTTATACCATATGATTCTCATTGAATTTTGACACTTTGAATGAGAATCATATTGGCCAAATGTTCGTATTTTATACTCCCCTATTCAAGGCTAAAATTTTCATTTTATTATTTTAATTTGTCCAAATCAATTTTATTTTTTTTTAGTAAACGTATCTTATAATTAAATATAAAAATATTCATTTTTTTTTTTTTATTTTTTTACATTATTCTTCAAATGTAAAATAGATATTACGATAATTCATTATATTATACTCCCCACCTCCCTTAACAATCTATCCATTTTTCCATTTTGGTCCGTCCCATAACAAAGTATTCGTTTTCTTTTTTAGTAATTGTACTATCTACTTAATATTATAAATATCCTTCTAATTTACAATATATTACACAAATGTCATTACTTTTATATCATACAATACTAATAGGGTTAATTTAGTCTTTTTACATTTATTTCTACTTTATCACAATATAATACTAATATTTCTAAAACTCCGTGCAAAAAGCAAATAGATATATAAATATGGGACGGACGGAGTATATCTATAAAATATTATACTATCTTAATCTGTATGTAAAAATCAAATGAGAAATTTACTAGTGAACGAATGGAGTATTTATTACGTTAATGCAGTGTTCTACTCCCTCCGTCCTAGTACAATAGTCTTGTTTATCATTTTTTTCTGTCCCAAAATAATAATTTTATTTCTATAAATAATCATATCACTATAAAACTACTCTTACTTTTTCATTATTATTACACAATTGCCACTATTTTTTACACTAATACACTCACTCACAAGGGCAAAAAGATATTTTATATACATTTTTTACTCACTACCAATATAATATCAATATTCCTTAAATTCCGTGTTAAACACAACCCAGACTATAATTTTGGGATGGAGGAAGTATTTTGTATATATACTACATATATTCTAACTTAAAGTATTTTTTTTTATTATTTTTATTTGTCTCGCTCAAAAGTATTTTTTTTTATTTTAATAAAAAATAATATATTAATACCAAAATACTTGTAAATTTTATCTAAATTACAAATATATCATATATATATATATACAATTGATGTATATATAAAGTTAGAAGGTAAAAATATCAAAAAAATTTATACACTTTTATTTACCAATAAAATATTAGTATTATTATTAATATACTATAAGACCCCCCAAAAAAAACTCTTTTAAGTGAGACGAAGAAAGTATAATATATATATATGGTGTTACACTAAAAAATATACTCTCCTGTCCCAATATAATAGTCATGTTTATCATTTTTGTCCGTTCCAAAATATAGTCTCATTTCCATAAATAATCATATTATTTATTACCCTTACTTTTTCATTATTATTACACAATTGCCACTGCTTTTTACACTAATACACTCATAAGAGCAAAAAAATCTTTTATCCGTACTTTTTACCCACTATCAATACAATATCAATATTTTTTAAATTTCGTGCCAAACACAACCCAAACTATAATTTTGGGACAAATAGAATACCATTTTTGTAATCGAAATTTATATCTATTTGATCAAGAACGAGTTTTAATTTATGTTATGATATTTTACTATTCAAGTCTAAAGTCAATAGGATTTGTGTTCTGATATTTTTTTTAATTTATGTTCTGATATCGAGTTTTAATTGATGTTCTGATATTTTTTACTTGGATTTGTGTTTAATTTATAAAATATATTTCATCCGTCCCAATATAATAATCTTATTTACTATTTTTGTCTGTCCCAAAATAATAGTCTTATTTCCAAAAATAATCGTATCACCATAGAACTATCTTTACTTTTTCATTATTATTACATAATTGTCATTACTTTTTACACTAATATACTCACAAGGACAGAAAAATCATTTATCCTTACTTTTTTTTTTCCAACTACTAATATAATATTAATATTTTTTAAATTCCGTATCCAATACGGTAAGATTATACTTTTGAACGGATAGAGTATTATACTCTCGAGTCTATAAAGTCAATCGTTATCCATACACTTCAGTAAATTATTCAATAATAAAAAAATGTAAAAAACATTAAATAATTCATAAATAATTATTTAAAAACGAACAATCCTAAATCATCAACCACTCGTCATTTCATTATCACTATTATTTATTTATTTATTCTCTAACTCCCACAAAACATATACTCCTTTTTCTCGATACAATAGTCTTGTTTATCATTTTTATCCGTCTCAAAACAATAGTTTCATTTCCATAAATAACCATATCACTATAAAATTATTTTTACTTTTTCATTATTATTACACAATTATCACTACTTTTTACACTAATACACTCACAAAAACAAAAAAAACTTTTACCCGTACTTTTTATTTATTATCAATATAATATTAATATTTATTAAATATTTTGCCAAATACAACTCAGACTATACTTACGCGAGAGAGAGAGAGAAACATGTGTAGCAAAAAAAGAATAGATAACAGAAGTCAACGATTAAAATATTAGCAAGTGGAAGGTGGGGAAGATTTTGAATTGCCTATATATTTTTTAAGCCCTTGTATTTTATTTTTTTAATATATATGTTATTGTGATATATTTAAATTAAAAATAATAATTAGTTAATCTAATATTTTATATAAAAATAAATATTCTCTTAGTCTCACCTTTTATATTCGATTTTTTTAAATATAAAAATTTAGATAAAATATGATTATTAAATAGTTAATAAAAAAAATGGTTACATAATGTAAATAATTATATATTATTTTTAAAATAAAATAATTAATTTAATTAAAATAAAATATTTATTGATTATAAAATTTAATTTTTAATTAAAATATATAATCATCTTTTCTAAAAGGATAAATAAATCTGATGAAAAAAAAAATAGAACTAATGGAGAAAAAGATGGGAGGAAGTAGTATATATATAATATTGTTCAAAAAAATAAATTGGATAGTAATATAAATTAAAATAAAATCACAAACAAAAAAAATACTTTCTAAGGTTTTTTTTTTTTTTTTGAATTATTTTACTTGTACTTTTTTTTATGAAAAAAAAAAATATATTTATTCTTCAATAAAAAAAAAAAGAATTCTAACATACTTTCCAATTAATATTATTAAAAAAATACAATATATATACTTAGATAAAATTATATTTAATGTAAAATGGAAAATTAAACATATTGTTTTTTATTTTTTTTTATTATTATTATTTGTTATTTTTTTTAACTTCAATCATAAATTAAATTTTTGAGGATTTTATTGTTAGTCATTAATTGGAAGCTATAAAAATGTTTATTTTGTTATGTTTTAAATATTTTATATAAAAAATAACACTTTTTTATTTTATTTTATTGATAATTAAGTTAGAAAACGAAATTTGAAAACAAGTTCATATTCAATATTAATTCATATTTAACGAACTTAATTTTGTGTTGGGTGCATTCACCTAAATTATTAAATATCCACTTGCATCCCATGTTGGTGCTAATAATATAAATAATAAGTAACTCATTTATTTTATAATAACTTCTGACTTAGGTTGCATTATTATTATTATTTTATAATTTTCTTTAACCCAAATATTGTATTATTATTATTATTATTATTATTATTATTTTATTATTTGGATTTTGTATTTTTCAAAAAATAAAATAAAATATATCATTATTTTTTTTTCACAGAATATTATATCAAATACTTCCTCCGTCTTGTATAATATGAGATGTGAGAATTTAGGTAAAATATAATTAGTAAGTAATTAAAAATTATATTAGTAAAAATAATTATTATATAGTAAAAATAATTATAAATTAAAATTAAGATAACTAAAAATAGTTTAATTGTGATTAAAATGTATAATTATATTTTAAAAAAAATGACAACAAAAATATAAAATAAAGACAAATTATACGAAATGGAGGGAGTATTATTTTAATATCAAATTCAAATTAATTTTTCTCAAATCAAACTAAAAAAACACACATTTTTTTTAATATTTTTATCATATTCTATTTTTTTTTAAAAAAAAATTACTTTTTCATCAAATAAAATATCATATAAAATATTATTTAAATCAAAAGTCAAAACATCATAATCCAATTCACATGAACATAACTACAAACTAAAGTACAAACTTCCGTACATGCTAGGATGTATTTGTTTGGGGGGTTTGGATTTTGAGTTGGGATTTAAATAATAAAAATTTTGAATTTGAATAGTTATATGATGTGATATAAATAGGCGTTGATGTGATGTTTTGAATGTAAAATTGATTTTTAGTATAATATAAAAAATAAAAAATAAGTGTTTAATTTGATATTTTTTGGAAAAAAAAATAGGATAAATAGTGAAGATTTAATCCAATCCCCTAAACAAACACATCCTTATTAATTATAGAATAAACTTTATACAAGATACAAAATGCTTCATTCATTATGCATATATATACATATATATTCTAAATACAATTTCAATTCCTCGTACCACATAAAAAAATCAATTTATATAAAAATACTGAGTAAACAAACGAATAATTTATAGTTTTGCCACCAAAAATTAATACTCCCTCCGTCCCATATGATATGGGTGTATTACTGTAGACATGAGAATGTAGGTAAAGTATAATTAGTAAGTAATTAAGAAATGTATTAGTAAAAATAATTATAGATTAAGATTAAGATAAGTAAATAGTTTAATTAAAATTAAGAAAATTTAAAATTTAAAATTTAAAATGCGATTAAAGTGTATAATTATATTTCCAAAAATAGAAAAGACAAGTTATATGGGATGAACGAAAATAAAAAATAGAGACAAATTATCTGGGACGGAGGGAGTATATATATATATATATATATGTGCGTGTGTGTCCGTGTGCGCGTGGCTACAACTTGTGTTCAAATGCAGTTGCAATAAGGCTCTGCATAGATGATGATCAAATAAGCCACATGCATATGTAAATAGTATTAGTGGCACGTTGTTTTCATTCATACGTATACAATTTTAAGTTCTATTTTATATACAAAATTTTAAATAATATTTAGCAATACCTATCGATACTATATATATATATATATATACATTAGTTTATTTTATTTAATTTGTCAATTTTTTATATTTTCTATCGTCTTAAATAATTGTCTTTTTAAAAAAAAAAAAATCATAATTATATATTTTAATCACATTTTAAAATTTATAATTTATAATTCTTTTTATTTTAATTAAATTATTTAGCTATTTTAAAATCTATAATTACTTTTATTAAATCATAATTATTTTTATTGATATATTTCTTAATTATTTATTAATATGTATCTAAGCTAAAAGGAAAAAAATTATACAGGGTGGAGGAATTATTTTTTTAAAAAATAGATTATACTCCCTCCGTCCCACATAATTTGTTCATATTTTCTATTTTCGTCAATCCCACATAATTTGTCCTTTCCTTTTTTGGAAAATTAATTATACACTTTAATCATATTTTAAAATTTAAAATTTAATTTTTTTTAATCTTAATTAAACTATTTAGTTATGTTAATCTTAAATTATAATTATTTTTACTAAATAATAATTATTTTTACTAATATATTTCTTAATTACTTACTAATTATACTTTACCTAAATTCTCGTGTCTACAGTAATACATATATATTACATAGGATGGAAGGAGTATTAATACTTCCTCTGTCCCTTTTGAAATGGACCTTTTGGAATTTTGTAATATATTAAAAAATAATAATATTTTATTGGTTATTGGAAGTGTGTAAAAAATTTTGACATTTTTACCTTTTGACTTTCTGTATAAAATAATTGTATGTTTAATGATATGTTTGTAATTTAAATAAATCAGACAACCGAAAATGGTCAAAAAAAATATTTTAAATTGGAACTTAGGGAGTATTTATTTCTTATGATCAAATATTAAATTTTAACTTTCAAAAACTTTTATATAAACAAGCCTAAAAAAAAATCAAACTCTTTGTTTGGGTGATTGAATTGGATTTATACTATTCATCCAATTTTTTAACCTAAAAAACATTAAATCAAACACATATTTTTCATTTTTTATATTATACTAAAAATTAATTTTACATTCAAAACATCACATCAACACTTATTTATATCAGATTATACAACTATTCAAATTCAAAATTTTTACTATTTAAATCCCAACTCAAATTTCAAACCCGAACAAACACACCCTAATATTACCCCGAGCAAAGAACTGTTCAATCTTACGTTAGGTGTATTTACTCAGCTAAATCTAAAGATCAACCACTTCACAATATCATCAACTAGTCATTACTTCTAAGAGGCATTCTGAAATTTATTTATTTATTTTGGAGCAAGTTGAGGTATCTAGTTGCTGCTGTTTCTGCAACATCTGTACTATAAATATGGAATAATCAATCTACACAAGAATAAACAACCAAACAACTCTACCGATCATCACGGAAACCATATTCTAATCAGCGCCATTGAAGAAGAAGACGAAGAAAGGATAAGGAAAATTCAAAAATGGTACCTAAATCCTTTGACAGAGATGCAGCTCGATTCAAGCCGCTGGTTAACCACAAATCGCACAGGATTTCGAAATTGAAGCCAAAGATACGCATAATTCACTTAATCGAACCGGAAATCATAACGACTGATGTGCAAAATTTCCGAGAGCTTGTCCAGAGACTTACCGGTAAACCAGACGCAGAAATCAATCGAAGAGCGTACCTGAGGTGTAATAATAATAATGCCTCGCCGCGTGGAAACAAGCCGTCGACGAGCTCGGAATCAGAGCGGAGCGCAGAGAGAGTGAAGACGGAGAAGGAAGATTTCTGTGAAGGAGAGATGATTTCAGATCTGTTTCTGAGTTTTCTGGAAGATTCGGATGCGTTTATCATCAATGGAATTGGAATGGATCAATTTCCAAATCTGCTCTCTGAAATCAATGCATTTGACGCAGAGCTCCCGCCTCTCTGTTGAAAACTCATCGCTGCGGTTACCATTTTTATCTTCGCAGACAAATTTTCGATTTTTTTGGGTGGGTTTGAAAATAGTTTTTTTTTTTTTTTTTTTAATAGATTAAAGTAAATATTGGTTGTGGTTTTTTTGCTGGATTATTCTTTTATGTTTATAAAATTGTGAAATTTTTGTTGTTATTTATTGAAAATTATATAAATACTATAATTTTTTTTTAATTTTCTTTTTAGATTATTTATAAAAATAAAAATAATTTTTTATCGTAATTGTTAAATGTTGGGAATAATATAAATTGAATGTAAACATGCTTTAAATATTTTGTTTCCGTTTTTTTCTATCCAATATAATATAGTCAAGTGTAATAAAAAATAAATATACTGTTTATTTAGTCAATTTGCTAAAATAACCGTTAATTAGAGATGGCAAAAATACATACGGTTCGAAAGTCGATTCGAGTACGGTACAAAAAAAATGTGTTTAAACCTCAAAAAATAAGTTTAAAAATTTTCGAACCGTACATAGCCCGGCGCGTTAATGAACTGCGCCGTGTCAGGCCCCGCAGATTTTTAAAATTAATATTTAATTTTAAATAAATTATATATATATTAATTTTTAAATTAAGAAAAATTAAACATAGCTTCGTGGTAAAGTTCATAGGGGTTGAATTCTAATTCAATTTTTCACTTCTACTATTTAAATAAAATTAAACATAGCTTCGTGGTAAAGTTCTTAGGGGTTGAATTCTAATTCAATTTTTCACTTCTACTATTTAAATATATTTTATTCTAAACTAATTCAAAGTTTAAAGAATAAACAAAATAATTTAAAACGGTCTGACAAGGCACACCTAGGCGGGCTCAGATTGGCTGGCCTTTCCAAGCCCGATTTGCAATTGGGCCATGTTAGCTGGCACGGTGGTTTGAAATCGGGTCAGATTGGCCCGGCACAAAAAAAATTGTGCTGGCTGAAATTGATGTCTGCTCTTTTTCACTATCGAGAAGATTTTTTCGATACCAAAGTCGACGTCTACCTCATCTTCCATATGTATCATTTTATTTTCACTTAAATTCAGTATGTTTAGATGGTTAAATTCTCTATGTTTGATTTTTGTTCATTTGAAACGAATTAAACGGAGTTAGAATCTAACAAATATATATTTTTCAAAAAAGTTACAGTTAGCTGGAATTTCTACTAAATTGAAATGTGTTCATTAGAGAAATCGAATCCGACAAGACTGGAACGTGTTTACAAGACTAGATAAATCAATTCGAAAAATTAAAAGGTAGAGTCGGAGCTTACAAAGACAAGAAAAATTGATTACAAAGAAATATTTCGATTACAATTAACTAAATTTCTGTTGGAAAATTGATTAATTATTTAATCGATTGAATTTAATTTTAAATTAAATTCATAATTTTCGAAATCGATTATTCGGTGAGTTAAAATGCATGTGTGTTGTATGATGGTTATTGATAGTGTGGTTAGACATATGAATACAAGTAAGCCACAGACGTGCGTGTCACATGCCCGGACCAGATAATGACACAACTACACGAGCATGAGTTATGTCTCAGGCTCAAAGTCTTGGTCGTGGTCATGGGTTAGACTTGAATTTGGTGAATGCTAGATTTGACGAAGTCTATTATGCTCCAAAGTCAAATTGAAACAACAAAATATTTTGTTGAAGTCCTAAAAAATATATATCACAAAAAAATTATAATTAAATACATGTATGATAAATAATTATTTGAAATTTGCAAATTCAAGTAATATATTTATGACCAAAAATTATGTGTGATGTTTATGGTCAGACATTACCAAACTTATGCCCGGCGATTACCAATCATTAAATATTGGCGATTTCGACTCGAAATTAAACTAAAGTTGGAGTGCCTATATAAGGTCACTTCTACCATTTTATTCAACACACCACCAAGAGAAGATTTTTTCTCTATAAGGTTGAAGCTTTTTGCCTTAAAGCATCTTAGATAACTCTTTTGAGATTAGACCAAGTTTATCATCTGAGTTTACTTATTCTGTTGAAAAAACAATTTGCCGTTTGGTGCTCTGCTTAGTGTAATTCACTTCATACGTCTGCAGAGTTTCAATGAGAGCATTCAAAGACATTGTTTTAATTTTCTCCAAATCTTCAAGAGTAGATACCTTGTTGTAGAATTTCTCCGATGTAGTGCGCATTATTTTAAACACCAACTTGCTTTTCCCATACACAAGTTCTAGACTTTGAGCACGACTTACAACGCTTTTGAATATGTTGTTGTACTCAAACACGGACTCTTGATTCTTCATCTAAATTGTCAAACCCTCTCTTTATTATCTGCAACTTAAATCGCCTAACTTTATCATCCCCTTCAAATGTACCGCGCAGTGCGTCCCAAGCGTCTTTGGCCATATTGCACGTTGATATGATTTGATAGAAGGATTGATCAACACCGTTGATAGTTTGCATTTAAGAGGGTCTTTTCTTCTGAAGTGTATTGTACTTTTATTTCTCAATCACATCAATAAAATCTAATATGTTTTTCTTTTCGCTCCTCATCCGATCATGATCGTCTTTTATGGAAGAGTTCACCCAATTAAAACTGTATCCCACGCGTCTTCTCCAAGGAACATGATGAAAATTTTCATTTTTATTTTCAAGTGTTGATAATTTTCTCTATCAAGTAGAGGAGACTTTGTAATTGAGCTGCCTTCTTTTCCGGCCATAGTTATGGATCTCTTCTCAAAACATCGAGAAGCCTGCTTTGATACCAATTGTTGGTCTCAACCCTTTTAAATTCAACAAACACAAAACAACAACACCACAATATTTCCAGATAAACTCGACTGCACATGGATAGTTCGTAGATAACTCAAACAACGTGTGCACTCTGATTGATAGCAATAAAAAAAAAAATAATAGTTAACCAATTTCGACCATCGAATACCATATTTCGAGGTATCAACCCAGAAAAATTAATATTCAAGAAAGAATGAATCAAGCTTACAAAGTTGTTGAATGTATCATTGCCCTTGAAAATTTCACTCTCTCGCTCACATAGAGTTTTCTCCCACAAAATTTCACCTTACAACCTATGCAAACACAACTCCCTTGTCCCCTCTCAATTCTCTCTTTCATTTCTTACGCTCCTTTTTGTTTTTATGTACATTATAGTTACTTCTCTATCCAACATTCACAACAAGACCCAAAATGAAAAAAAAAAGAAATTATTCTCAATAATTTCATAATTTGATTTTTCTATTTTGTCCTAATCAATTCTCCTAAAATCTCCTTATTCATCTCAAGCATATCCTTAGAATCGATGTTTCCTCAAAAATACGCCAACTTGATCTAATTTGAACCGCAATAGAATAGATCATTTGTTTCATGCTTAATGGGCCACAACTCTTCACCATGTTCATACGTTTGATCAGACCTCCTACAAACATTAATTAAAATTCAATAAAATGTACAATCCTAGTTCAACGTGAGAAACTCAATCAAAAAATTGTTTCGAGGGTTTGATTATGTGATAGTCACAAATCACTTTATTATATCAATTTCATCATTTTTTTATAGGCGATTGTTTGCGGACTATTAAGTTCAATTGAAATGTTATTTGGATTACATTTCAAAAATAATTATTGCAACTCTCACATCTTAAAAGAATAATTAAAAATATTTCATTTGAGTGAAAGCAATAAATTCGTAACGATGTGGAGTTTTATTTAGATAATAATTTGAAAATTTTGAAATATTTTAATAATTTTATAAATAGTTAAAATTTAAATATTTAATATGATATTTTTATAAAAATAAGATTAGTTGATAAAGGCAAACGCTGGAGAAATTTCTTGTTAAAACTTTTTAAAGTTTTTATTATATTTATTAATATGTGTACATATTTTTTAAATATTATTATACTCCTTCCGTCTCAAAATTATAGTTTGAGTTCTGTTCGATTTAAGGAATATTGATATTATAGTGGTAGTGGGTAAAAAATATAGGTAAAAATTTTTTTTGCTCTTGTAAGTGTATTAGTGTAAAAAGTAGTGGCAATTGTGTAATAATAATGAAAAAGTAAGAGTAGTTTTATAGTGATATAGTTATTTATAGAAATGAGATTATTGTTTTGGGACGGATAAAAATAAATGGTAAACAAGACTATTGTAATGGAACAGAGGAAATATTAAATAGTCAAATTTTACTCATCTTTAAAATTCAAAATTTTGAAATTTCCTTAACGTACATATTTTAGGGTGTGTTTAGTTTATAAATATAATTGTAGATAAATAATAATATAGATAACTCAATCGATTGAAAGAAAAAGAAAAGAGAAAAAAAAAGGGAAGAATGAATTGAATAGAAGAAAACTAGAAATTAAATAGAAGAAAATTTAAGTGAAATAAGAATTAAAAAAAAATATTATAATATTTAATTAGTTAATTTTTATTTTAATAGTAATTTAATTATAGTAATTTTTATTAGATCAGAATAGTAAATTTAATAAAAATTAACAAAATTAAACAATAAAAACTTAAATATAATAATTTTCAATTTTTATTTGTTTTTGCATTGAAGGAAAATAAAAATAAAAAGTAAAATAATATTTTTTAGTTAAAATTCAAAATATCATTTTTTATTATTATTGTCCATTCCACTGAAAACTATTCTTTTTTTATTTTATAAAAAAATAAATAAATTATATACTAATATCAAATCACCATTTAATTTTTACTTAAAATTAAAAACATACAATTATTTTATACATAAAAAATACTATTTTTTCCTGTCCCTCTAAAAAAAAGGATAATATTTCGTAACTTAGTAATTGTACTGCCTATCTAACATAATTAATACTCTTACAACTTATAATATATTACATATCATTACTTTTATATCACATAATCGAATAAGATTATTATTATTATTTTACTATAAACTAATACTCCCTCCGTCCAAAAATTAATCTCCTATTTTTTTATTTGGGACGTCCAATAACTATTGTCCTATTTTCTTTTTTTTAAACACAAACTTTGCCTTTTTACTCTTCATTTATTTATCACTTTTAATCTCTACTTTATGATAAAGGATAAATTAATTTGTCAATTCATTAAAAAAAACATAATTACCTAAAAAATCGTGCAAATATACTTTAAGACAATTATAAATGGACGAAAGGAGTATAATACTAATATTACAAATTTAGGTGCAAAATTGCTAACTTTATGGAACTGAAATAATATTACTCCCTTTTCCCAATTAATTTGTCTATCTTAGTTTAGACACTGAATTTTTAGGTATTGTTTAGTTAGTAAATAAATAATTAAAAAGAGTATGAGTGAAAATAACTCTGATTTAAAAATAATTATAAGTTAAAACTGAAATAAAAAATTATATATTATCAATTTTAAAATGCGATTAAAGTGTATAATTATATATTTAAAAAAAATAAATTATGTGGAACAAATAAAAATAAAAAAATAGACAAATTAAATGAAACAAATAGTGTACTTTTTAATTTATAATAAAACTACAAAAATATCATTTTAATTTGAACAGTGAGTAATTTATTCCTCAAATTTCAATATTCTTATTTTTAAAATTCCCAAACACGCCATTGCTTTACATTTCCTAAAGTGGCTATTCACCACCACTAGCGGCGCTGCGCGTTGGTCAATTCTGCCTCCGCACTGTTAGCGAATCTGTCCACGTCTCTCTCTCTCTCTCGAACCTTTTTCCCATCCCAATCCACCATTTTCTCTTCTAGGTTTTCCTTCTTCATCATCTGCTAATCAAATTTTATCTATTAATCTCGTTTTCCTGCTTTTTAATCGTTAATCTGTAAGTATTCACTTGTCTCGTGTTTTGATAATATCTTTCAGATATCTGCTGTAGATCGATCAATTTGGTGTGCGCCATGCGGCGTTAAATTTCTCTGCCTGCGGCTGTGCTTGTGATTTTGATTTTGTGATTTATATTCTTGTTTCTGCAGGGTGTTTGGTGATTGTGAGCAATGGTGTTCTATAAGGGCGTTTCTTTATTGTCCAGGCTGCGATCTCGCAGTGTAAGTAGTGTGCCTTGTAAAAGGATAACAAAAATTAACTTAAGATTACATTTGATCTGGATGTTTATGACATCTCTTTTTTGTTGCTTTTTAAAAAATGAGGATGAAAAAAGAAAATTGATGGATGTTTGTATGCATTTAACAGGTTCAGCAGCCAGGTTTCTGCAATACTGTACGTTGGCTTCAAGTCCAAACCTCCACAGATGTTGTAAGCAATTTCTGTTTATGTTGGTATTTGACGACTGTCGATATGGATTGGTGGCAATTTCGATGGTTGTGTGCATTAGTCAATGTTTCTGAAAGTGACATATTTGAGATTGATGTTTATCTCTTTCAGTGCCGTGTCAAGTATATCAAAATTAAGGATTATGTATATTCATAATAGTAATTGAACAGCATGTTATTCTTTAATGGGACTCAACATAATGCCTAGTTGTGGCTGTGCTGACTTGCAAGAATTGGGAACTGGATTTATCGAAGTTAGAGCATTTTAATGTTATGATGTTTTCATTTTCTTGATATGTCATGTGCTTTGTTTGGTTTTACAGTCTTTATCATCCTTGGATCACTAAGCTAATATTTTCTCATGTGTTAATGTATTTATCTACAGGACTTGTATTCGGAGCTGAAGGAATTGATACCACAACAGCAGGTAATTGTCCTGGATGAAAAGAATTGAGAGTAGCCACTATATGATGATTACAATTCATCCTTTGTCTATTTGATTCTGGTCTCAAAATCCAGTTCTGTATGCGTTCTGGTCGAATTGCAGAATGAAATTGATGTCTTCCTCATTTCCATCTAAGATTTAATCCTAGTACATTGGATTGGCTATGTGGATTGCATGTTCCTATTATTTTTTATTAAGACAGAAACTATTGTCTAGGATTAATCAAAATGTCTCTTTTACTGTTTTCTACCCATTTGTTCTAGGTCTCTTACTTTCCTTTTACTATTAGTGGAGTGTCTGTTTTCTTTGTATGTTGGTCTCATCTTCTCATTTGTTGATTAGACTTCCACGCTCTAGCTAATGCATTTATTTATTTGTTTTGATCTCGTTTAGTATGTAAGGATAACCATCTCAACATTGTCTTCAACTATTCTAAATTTTGTTCATGTAGATTTACTCATCCCCCAACTACATAGATTGCCTTGTTTTATAATTCTATATTTTTTATATATCAATTGCAAGGAGTTTTGCAATCACAGAGTAAGATGACATCTCCATGATCCAATTTGTTTGATTCTATGTGGAACTCTTAGTCTGTTATCAATTCTTCCAAGGATAAATTCTAAATACTTATAGAAATACTATATATATATATATGTATGAGTCTATTGTTTGTGCAATGAACAGACCAACCATCAACAGTGGAGGGGCCTTGTTTCTTGGTAATCTTTATATAATGACTAACCAATTCATATTTACTGTCTCAGGAGCGCCTAAAGAAACTGAAATCACAGCATGGCAACGTTCAGCTGGGGAATATAACTGTTGATATGGTGTGTATGGGTGCGTGCGTGTGTTTTACTTCTGGATACCCTTCTATTTAATCGATGCATTAGTTATACTGATTATTCAGGTGTTAAATGATATACTTGTAAATTTCCTAAGGTACTTGGTGGAATGAGAGGAATGACAGGGTTATTGTGGGAGACATCTTTACTTGATCCTGAAGAGGTACAGATCCATTGGAGCTATTTATGATTCTACTTCTTAAACACTCCTGCAGCGTTTCTCAGTGATTTATGCTCTGATTTAGGGAATTCGCTTTCGGGGCTTGTCAATTCCCGAGTGTCAGAAATCGTTGCCTGCAGCGAAGCCTGGAGGGGAACCATTACCTGAAGGACTTCTTTGGCTTCTGTTAACAGGAAAAGTGCGTTGCTAACATGTTATTCTGTTCCATTGCTTCTTGCTATGCTCAATTCAGCTTATGACATGTTGAAACTATTAGTTTGAAATGATATATTTTGTTCGGTTAAGTCCACAATTTAAAAGAGTGGCATGGTCTGTTTTTCTTGATTATGCTCTATATTCTATAATCTTCCACAAAAGTTAATGTGTTATTTTCTTTTGTTTTGCTTCAGGTGCCATCTAAAGGGCAAGTTGATTCTTTATCGAAGGAGCTGAGGAGTCGTGCTAAAGTTCCTGGTAGTTACCCTTAAATATTCTTTAGCTGCTTAATCTTTGACTGCATCCTGTAAGCCACTCATCTAGTTATGCCAACTTAATTTATCAAGGTAGTTACCCTTAGCTTCTCTTTAGCAGCTGCTTAGCCTATGACTCTATGATCTGCGGCCAGTTGGTTTTTTATTTTTTTGTCTCTGAATCTAGTTATGCCCTTAATCATGCATGATAATATTTGAACGTTTCAGCGCTGTTACATAATTTTGCATTACATTACACCCATAGTTTACAAAAAAGCTTATATATGTCCTCCCTGTGTTAACATCATTTTCCTGAACTTCTTTTCAACTTTCACTTTCAATGCTTATCTGTCTATCACCCCCTTCTGTTCTTAACATTCGTTTCTCCTCTCTTCAAAAACTCAAAGTCATGGTTGTTGTTGCAGATCATGTATATAAAACAATTGATGCTTTGCCCATTACTGCCCATCCCATGACACAGTTTGCAACTGGTGTCATGGCTCTTCAGGTAGATAATTAGATTTTTGCATTTTACTTGTATTCGTACCTCATGCCTTTCCTTACTGATATTTTGTCTGAACTTAATACCAATGATAGGATAAAAAATTGCTCGAGGAAAATTCAATGTTGTAATGAAAAAGGGCTTGTTTTCATGGCATCCATTTGCATTTATTAGTGTGTTTATTGAATTTTTGCCAGTTCTTACTATTCCTGAAATATTTATTGAAACAATCAAATGCTTGATCTAGTCTAAAATAGTCATGGGTGAAGAGCTTTGATACATGATATTTATTATGACAGATTTTTGTATTCCATACCCGCAGAGAATGAAAATAAAAAAAATCTACTATTTGTTACTGACCCTGCCAACACTGTTGTGCATTTGGATTCTTCAACAAAAAAGGATGGTGCTAATTTGTGTTTCTACTATCTTGAGTCGAATCACTTCCTACACTGTTATTTTACCATATTGATTTTTGTAATAAAATGTTTTCCAGACTGAGAATGTTTTTAATTCATAAAACTATCCTGTTATTGTGTTGTTAGTATAAGGGGGTATGAACTGAATATTCATCATGTTTTGCGTTAGGTCCAAAGTGAATTCCAAAAGGCATATGAGAAGGGAATACACAAATCTAAGTGAGTTCTTGAAAGATTTTGTCCTTAAAAAGGGAATATGTTATATAGCTTTATAAACTCACAATATATGGTATCTACAGGTATTGGGAAGCCACATATGAGGACTGTATTAGTTTGATTGCTCAAGTTCCAATTGTAGCTTCTTATGTCTACCGCAGGTTGGTTAATGGATTATATCTTCGTCCGCCTGAATTGAATCGTCCATGTGAACCTTTCAATACTGTGTTCACATGAATCAGGCCTGTATTGGTTACTCAGATTATAATTATATTGGGTAACATATATTTGATAAATTTGAAGGATTTACAAAAACGGGCAAGTTATCCCACCAGATGATTCCCTAGATTATGGAGGAAATTTTTCACATATGCTAGGGTTTGATGATCCAGCCATGCAAGAGCTAATGAGGCTCTATGTCACAATCCATAGGTGCATTTTACAATCTCATGCAATTTTTTTGTTCAATTGCAATTTGAGTCCTATTGTAGCTTACATATTTATGCTCCTCCATGTAGTGATCACGAAGGTGGAAATGTCAGTGCCCATACTGGTCACCTGGTAAGCAACATCACCCTTTACTTTAGCTTTTACAAATACTATTGTTGGTTGATACATCATTCGTTGCCTTCGGTTTAAGCTGCATCTATAACCTCCTCTCTATATTGCGCACATATATAGATTTTTAGATTTCACAGCATCCGTTTAATAATTCTTATATTTTTCTGATGTTTGATATCGTATTTTGTACAGGTTGCTAGTGCTCTTTCTGATCCTTATCTCTCTTTTGCTGCTGCACTAAATGGTTTAGCTGGTCCTCTTCATGGCTTAGCTAATCAGGTGTGCTAATGTTTCTCTATATACATTAATTCGAAGATATGAATCAACATGTAATTGTAAAAATCACCATAATGTTATGCATGAGGCAACGGGATATAGACACAGCAAGGAAAACAGAAGTTATGGCTCTGGTCTCTTTGAATTTTTTGTCAGTTTCTTTACAATGCAACCATTACAATTTTCCATAAATATGATTTTTTTCTCTCACAAAACATTAAATCCAATTACTCTTTAAACCAAAAACCAAAATTAAAACACAACCAAACAAATATAGCAGGTCATAAATAGGAGAATGCAGATGATTGCAGGCTTACATCTCTCTTATTTTCTAATTACAGGAAGTTTTGCTGTGGATCAAATCCGTGGTAAAAGAGTGTGGGGAAAATGTCAGCAAAGTAGAACTTAAAGATTATGTCTGGAAAACACTCAACAGTGGGAAGGTAATATCTACATGCGAAATATTCTCCCTCCTCCCTCCCAACACGGGTCTCAATTTACTTTCATGTTTAATAGTATTGAAATAGAAGCTCTAAGCCAATTCGAAGCCTCATGATTTTTATTCACCACACATTTGCTATGGTCTCCATAATATATGCCCCAACTGTACATTACACATTGATTACTTGCTTCTTGATGGTGTTCTAGAAATGTACCTCTCTCTTAATCTGTTGCCTTTGTTTTGTATTTACGTCATTGTTTACTTGCCTTTCTTGAAATAATGTTGTTTTTACTATCATTTGTATTGATGTTTTAGGTTGTCCCTGGTTTTGGACATGGAGTTCTCCGCAAGACGGATCCTAGATACACATGCCAAAGAGAGTTTGCTCTAAAGCACTTGCCTGAAGATCCACTATTTAAACTGGTTATTATTTCATACTTGCGAAAATTATAAATAATGGTATGTATACGTCATCTTGTTTCGGCATGAATTAAATATATTCCGCCTTGAATTTTCATTGCAGGTTTCAAATCTCTATGAAGTAGTGCCTCCAATTCTTTTGGAACTTGGCAAGGTAATGCCACTCTGCTTCATAACTTGAAAAGAATCATCTTTACATTTTACGGGATCTTGTGTTGTTATTAATTGTTTATAAATTAATTGGATTATTTACCTACTTGAGCAAACTGGATTTGAGAAAGATACATATATAGATTGACAGATTGTAACTTTTGTTTGTAAATCTCAATTACATGTTGAGCTCAACTTTGAGTTGAATGCTGTTAAAGAGTGTGCATTTTCTTCCCTGTTTGAAAATATCTCTTTTATTCAGTTTCTTTCTCCTAATTTTATTTTATTTCTCAAGTTATTATTATCATTTTTTTCAGGTGAAAAATCCATGGCCTAATGTGGATGCACACAGCGGAGTATTGCTCAATTACTACGGTTTAACTGAAGCAAGGTAACTTTCATAAACTATTTCCCTTGGTGCAATAATACTTAAACAATGATGCTTTTTATATATATATATATATATTTCCACTTATTACTCCTGCAGGTGACCCCTTTTTCTTTTATTGTCCGACAAAAGATTACCCATTTATATTTTTAGTAAATTTATTATCTTAAACATATTTAATAAATATAAATCAATTTAATTAAATTTTTAACTTCTTACACGGCCCACTCAAAACCCTTTATTTTTATCTCCTTATCTATATTCAAACTTCTTATATTTTATAAAACTAGTTTTTAAGTTAATTATAAATAAATAAATATATTTTTTATTTATTTGTATTATATAATATTTTATTATTTACAATATTCATATTAATCCTAAAAATATTTAAAATACCAATAATACTATTTATATAAAAAATAATAAAATTGTATCATAACTTATTATTAATAACTTACGGTATCTATCTCTAACAAAATGGCTCAGCCTTGCTGAGATGGAGGGAGTATTATTTAATGCAATGCTAGGTCAATGTAATTTTTCCAAAACCATAACTACATAGCCTTATGTGTCAAATGTTTCATCAATATCGACAGATACTACACTGTTCTCTTCGGCGTGTCAAGGGCTATCGGAATTTGTTCTCAGGTTTCCTTCCAAATCACCTCGATCTATTCATATCATAACTTTTAAAACATTTGTCGACTCTTTGACATGCTTACGTTCATCAGCTTATATGGGACCGAGCTCTCGGACTGCCACTCGAACGACCAAAGAGTGTCACAATGGAATGGCTCGAAAATTACTGCAAGAAAGTAGGAGCCTAAGCTCGACACTCTCCCCAAAGATCACGCTGTTTAATGATTGACTCACTCTCGAATAAATGGTTTCTTGAGGTTAGAAGGGCAGTTGAGCATTCGTCGCCTTCTGTGCAATGCAGACAAGGTCGGGTCAATATGATCCGATCTCCGACTTCAGGTTGGTTTATAGACAGTTGTTCTAATATTTGTACAATGCAATAAATAGTTAAAGTGTGCATTCTGAGTGTGAGCATGACAGTAGAAAGTTTCCCTGTTCGAATGGGTTTAATTGATTTTATTTTTTTAAAGACTAAATGATTTGATCACCATTTTGCTTGCTTGCTTGAATTGGGCAAATTGATATTATTATTTCGTGTTAATTAATTTGAATATGAAAGAAAGAGCATATATACATACATACATATATATATATATATATGGATATGTGTGTGTTAGGGTAGACATGAACTGTGTAAATCCCAAATATTATTTGTCGTGAAAGAGAGGGTAGAGATGGTCTGATGGTGTGGAGGTCATAAATAAATACATTAAATTAAAATACCGTTATTACGTTTATTTCAATTGAATTTTCGATTAATTTTCTTCTCCACTATATGTTTTCATTTTTGTAGAATTTCATTTTGAACTATAATATAATATTATCTTAATTAGATGTGTTCGGTAGTGGGATTCTATCCCAAAATTACTATTTATTAAATTTTTTTTCCTTCAAAAGTATCAAATTGAACACCTATTTTTTATTTTTTATATTATATTAAAAATTAATTTTACATTCAAAACATCGTATCAATATTTATTTATATTATCACTATTTCAAATTCAAATTTTTATTATTCAAATTTCAACTCAAATTTCAAACTTCCAAACAAACGCTAAAAGATTACTAAAATGACATTATAATCATCTTCTTTGATAAAAATCGATCTATTGGATTTGTTTATTTTAATCAGTTTAAAATTAACTTATCTATTTTTTTTAGTAATTTGTTTTCCCACGTATTAAAATAAAATATATTTACATTTGACCTATCATTAGAATATACTATTAATATAGTTTAACTATATTACCAAAAATTTAGGAATTTCCTTTTTCTATTATATTGCATACATGAAAGACATTCATACCGACATAGTGAGTATATAATTCAAATAATGAAGAGAAATCAATCCAGAATTCTTTTATTAATTTATAAACAGTAAAAAAACGGACTGGGCCGATCCTACGTGGCAAAGAACTTTTTTGTGCTTGGTTGGAGATTGAATTGGATATACATAGTTCATCCAATTTTTTTTTTCCAAAAAATATGAAATCAAACTCTATTTTTTATTTTTCATATTATACTAAAAATTAATTTTATATTCAAAACATCACATCAACACCTATTTATATAACATGGTACAACTATTCAAATTCAAAATTTTTACTATTCAAATTCCAACTCAAAATCCAAACTCCCAAACAAACACAAAACTTGAGCCCCACGCAATAGTGATATAATTATAATGCTCATCCATCTGGACAAAGTATATTATAAATACGAAGATTTAAAATTATTATACTCTCTCCGTCTCAATATAATAATCTTTTTTTATCATTTTTATCCGTTTCAAAATAATAGTTTTATTTTTATAAATAACTATATCACTATAAACTACCTTGCTTTTTCATTATAATTATACAATTGCACTACTTTTTACACTAATACACTCACAAGGACAAAAAAAAATCTTTTATCCGTACTTTTTACCCACTACTCATATAATATCAATATTCTGTGCCAAATACAACTCAGATTATAATTTTGAGATGGAGGACGTATTATATTAATCCGTTACTATAGACACAAGAATTTATGAATATACTTAATATATAATTAAAAATATATTGGTAAAATTAATTATAACATAATACAAATAATTATAAATTAATGTTGAGATAACTAATTAGTATAATACAAATTAAAAATATATAAATTATAAAATTTAAAATATATAATTTTTTTTTTTAAAAAAAAGTGACATAATATGTCAAATGACAATAATATGACATTATATGTGAAAATAAGGAAATAATTAATAATTAATTAAAAAATATATTAGTAAAAATAATTATAATATAGTAATAATAATTATAAACTAAAGTTAAAATAATTAAATAATTTAATTAATATTAAATAATTAAAAGTTATGAAGTTTAAACTATAATTAAAGTATAAATTACTTTTTTAAGTATATTCATTGATTAAGATGCTTTTGAACTAAAAATTGTCATTGGAGATTTTGAATGTCTTATAAAAATTGTATGACAGAAGTCTATTATGCTACAGAATAAATCGAAATAATAAAATATTTTGTTGAAGTAAAAATAAAAATATTTTTTATGAATAAAAAATACAACTCAAAATATAATTACATGCATAAAATTATTTAAAATTCAAAAATTCAAATAATATATTTGTAACTGAAATAAAATAAATGTTTATGACCAAACATTAACAGAACTATAACCGGCAGTTACAGACCATTCAAATATTTATGTTTTCAAATAATATATTTATATCTGAAATTAAATAAATATTTATGTTTCGAAATATTAGGATGTCAGAGAGAGATTCTGCTTCGACTCGATGTAATTATCGAATTTATTTCGATAAATTATTTTGATTATCGAATTTTATTTTTCTAAATTATTTTATATTTTCGCGATATAATAATTTTCTAACAATAAATGTGTTCAAAATTTTTTGACATAAAAATTTTAAAAATAATTGGTCTCTTCACTAATCGTTTTTAGATGAATTGATTGACTTTTTATGAAAGGATAATATATATATATATTATATTAATGGGTGTATATTTGTATTTTTTTAATAATATTTATGAAACATTGTTTTATTGAAAAATGCTGAGCGGATAGAACAAATATTTTTATAATTTTTGAGAAACTAGAAAGAATAAAATTTAAAGTTCTTCGAATTATAAAAACCCAATAGTAGGATATTAACTTTAAATAATGTAATTAACTATATGTATTAATTTAAATTATTATTATTATTTAAAATCCCTTAATTTTAATAGATGGAAGGACTAATTAGTAAAAACACATAGACACCCATCTATCAATTAGGGAAAAAAAAAATTATTTTTGGTCCCAATATAATCAAAATTCATCAATTTTGGTCATAATATAAAAGTCTTATCAATTTCGGTCACAATATAACCAAAACTCATTATTTTTGTTCTAATATAACCAAAACTCATTATTTTTTATCCCAATATAAAATTTTTCTTTATCAATTTTAGTCTTAATATAACCAAAACTCATCATTTTTTGCACAATCTTGCAAGTCCACATCAGCATTTTTTGTCGATTTGTTAACGGTGGGACTAAAAAAGATAAAGTTTGATTATATTTGTGACAAAAAATGATGAGTTTTGGTTATATTGTGACTAAAATTGATAAAAAAAAAAAATTATATTGTGATAAAAAATGATGAGTTTTGGTTATCTTGAAACAGAAAATGATGAATTTTAGTTATATTGAGATCGATTTTTATATTGAGACCAAAATAGATGAATTTTGTTTATATTGAGATAAAAATGATTTTTCCCCTATCAATTATTAATGCTGTCAATTTTATTTATTCACTAATTAATTTACCTTAAAAATATAAGCAAAAAATAAAATAAAAAAATAAAAATAAAATATAATGGATCTTCGTCCTCATGTTGTATAACATCGGGATTATTTTAAAATTTTATTTTATATTATAATATAATAATGAACGAGAAAGTTCGAGGAATTCTTTTTAAAGACTTTATAGGTCGATGCAGTTTTCATATTAAATTAATATCTTGACTATATATATGTTTAATTTATATTTGTATTTTATTTTCAAAGAATAATTTGATATGTTTTATTAATTTTAGGTATATATTTTTAATGCCTATAAAAATATTTCAAATAAAAAACACTTTTTTCCTTTAATATATTTTTTTAAAAATATGAAAGATAATATTCTTTCTTTTTTATAACTGAAGATATTGAAAATATAGATATATAAAAATAAAATAAAATAAAATTGAAAATATGTATCCTATTACTTAATGTTTATTAATAAAAATATATTATTATTATTATTATTATTATTATTATTATTATTATTATATTTCATAAAATTATATTGAAACATTATTTAAATTCAAATTCAAATAAAAAATTAAATTTAAAATCAAAATCAAACAAATTCAAAATTTATTTTTACACAAATCAATAGTAAAAAAATTGTAATTTTAATTTATTCAAAATGTTTCTTTTTAATTTTAATTTGGTTTTTTTATTTCAATTTTAAATGTGAACAGAGATAATATACTAATTTTTAAATAAAGATTCGAAATAATTATTCACCTGTATCACTTAATTTTTCCATATTTTTTATTTATGTCTGTCTCACATAATTTATTATTATTATTTTTAAAAATATAATTGTACACTAACTAAATTATTTAGTCATTTAAATCTTAATATATAATTATTTTTTATTAAATCACAATTATTTACTAATTATTTAATCTCTAAAACTTTGTGTTTAAGATAAAAAGATAATTTAAATGGGACGGATATCTAATAAAAAATTAAAACCAAACTTCCCAGAAATATTTTTGCCAATAAAATAGTTTAAATAAAGAGATATATATGTTTTTTATTATTTTAGTGTTAACTTGTGTTTTTATGTTGTAACAAATGTTTGTGTTTCTTTAGGTTTTGTTTGTTTTAGAAAATTCATTTAAAAATATGATTTGTTTATTTAAATTCATTTAAAAATATTTTAATAAAAATTTTAATATTTTATTAATATTCATATACTGTTTTCGGTAAAAAATTTCTTTTTCAGTTACACTATTTTCGTAAATATTTATTCTCTCCGTTTGGACTAATTATACTACAGTATCCGAACATAAATACCAAAAAATAATAGTATTATTTTAATGTAAATATAGGATAAGTATAAAATAAAATAAAATAAAATAAAGTATTATAAAAAATTTATTAAAGAATTAATAACAAAACAGTGTAACTGAAAAAAAGTAATAGTAAATTAATTATAATTTATTAAAATAAATATAATAAAATTATAAGTAGTTAAAATTATTTACTACAAATAAATTATACATAAGTTAATGAACAATAAAGAAAAAAAATGGAAAAGTCAGATATACTTTTTAATATTTTTATAAAAAATTTACGAAACTTGCATTATAAAAATTGAAATGCTGAATTTGTTCATTCAATTTATTTTTAATGCACAATTTTTCATAAATATCGTAAAAATAAAATATATTTCTTTCGTTCTATTTCAATTGTCTATTTTTTTTTTTTTAAAATTTCATCCTACTTCAACTAAAGTATTTTTATTTTTGGTAACAAATATAAATAAAATTTTATACTTATCAATTTTCATATCTACCGTAAGAAAATATATTCATAAAAAAAACCTAAAGAAAACATTCCAATTTTAACAAACATTCTTTTTAATATAGAAAAAGTTTAATTCAATATTTTAAATAGTATGATAAACTTTTAATTAAATGGAATAAATAAATTGATTTGAGATTTCATCCAAACACATCCGTTTGCATTGCCACTTCTTTCTCTCTCTTTGATTATTGTTGTCGTTGTCTTTCTCTCACCGCTGATTACTTTTTCTCCTTCCTTACTCCTCACACACACACACACACACACACATCAGCCCCTACAAAATAATCACAGCTTTTTCATATTTTAGCTACAAAGTCCTCAGCTTCTCCTGCTTTTTCGATGTAGGCTAAGCAATATCTCTGGAATTGGTTATGGTTCTTGGTGTTTTTCATGGTAAAAATTTTGGGTTTTTTATTTTGCTATGATGGAAGTGGTTTGGGAAATTGATTTTCATTTCTTGATGATTACTTCAGTTCCTTTAATAAAGTTTAATGTTTGAATTATTTTTGAGTGTGGAGTATTTTGAGTTTGTCTGTGTGTGTTCAGAGTGAGGTTCTGCTGCTGCTTCTTGGTTTGGTTGATTTTGTTTGATCACTAATTACTCGTTCATTTGAAGATAGAAAAACTTTTTATCTGTGTTCTTTTATCGTGGAGGTTTCATAGATGAAGATTTGCAGTTCTTTCACTTGCATAAACGATCATTTTTAATAATTTGAGTATTTATCATCCATGTCTTTAACCAATTCGACGTGGTTTCGTGTTGCAGACGGATTTGAAAGTGTTCCAGGGTTTATGTCACTTATTTATTTCTTTATTGGTTGATGTTTTTTAGAATAGTCTGGAGAATTCAAGGATTTTAGGTTTCTTGTTTCTTACATCATTCTTGCTGGAGTGAAGTTGTTTGCTGTTTAGTAGTTATCTCGAAAATATGAGTAGTTGAGGTTTCTTCTTAATATCGCTTTTCTGGAGGGAAGGTTTGGTGTTTTTGTAGTAATCTGGACATAATTTGAGGAATTGAGGTTTCTAGTACTGAATCTGGATATGCTCTGTGATGAATTATGTGTTTAAGTACCAAAACAATGGTTGATCGAACATAGTTTGATTTTTTGTTTCGTGTATTTTTCTTTAGGTTATTTTACAGGCATATTAAGGTGAATTCAAGTCTAATTCTGAAGGTTTAAGGATAAGATGGCTTATCAGAGAAGGGGGTCTGATTTGCGGCCACAAAGGCCGCTTTTACGGACCCAAACTGCCGGTAATTTAGGGGAGCCGATGGACAGTGAGGTGGTGCCATCATCTCTGGTTGAGATTGCGCCAATTTTGCGGGTTGCCAATGAGGTTGAGCCCATCAATCCTCGGGTCGCTTACCTTTGTAAGTCTTATTATGCCTAATTTTCATCTCATGGATAAGTTATTTGTTTGTTTATTGAATTCATACTCTAACTTGTATTTGTCAGCATTTGTGCTTTTAAGGAATTAAAAGTTATGAAAGTTTGTCAAGATAGTGAAACTATTTAGCTCATCTGATATCTGGTGATTATCAATGTCTATGATGGAATCAGGTCGGTTCTTTGCATTTGAGAAGGCTCACCGATTAGATCCAACTTCTAGTGGACGAGGTGTTCGCCAGTTTAAAACTGCACTTCTTCAACGTCTCGAGCGGGTAAATCTTGTTACTAAAAATACAATTTGCCTTTTGAATTTCACTGCAGTAAAGTTGACTCTTGTTTATTTTTAGGATAAGTTCTTGAATGTGATCTCTTGTATTCATTTTTTAACTGAAATTTAATAATTTCCATACTAGGATTCTAACAGAAAATTGAACATTGTTTGAAAGGAAAACGATACTACAATATCGGCAAGAAAAGGGAGCGATGCTCGTGAAATGAAGAGTTTTTATCAACTTTACTACAGAAAGTATATCGAAGCTCTTGATAGGGCTGCTGATAAAGCAGATCGGTAAATACAGATGAAGCATTGATTCCAGTTTCGTACCATTTTTACCTTTTTTGAGCTCATAAATTTTTGAATTTGGTATACAGTGCTAGGCTGACAAAGGCATACCAGACAGCTGCTGTTCTGTTTGATGTCCTAAAGGCAGTTAATCAGACGGAAGAGATTGACTTGGGCGATGAGGTAATGCTGCTCCTTCTTGCATTTCTAACATGTAGGAGGCTGTAGCTTTCTTCAATAAAATCATTGTGGTCCAACTCGCGACGTAGAAATACTTATCCGACACTTTAATGCTGAATATCTATGCCTTTACAGATTATGAAGACACAGAAAAAAGTGGCAGAGAAGACTCAGATTTATGTGCCTTATAACATACTTCCACTTGACCGGGAAAGCAAAGATCAAGCTATAAGGAAATACCCTGAGGTCAATAGTTGTTCAGTTTTATTTTGAAGCCGAGAACTTGTACGCCACATTATCTGTCGAATTTCTTTTGTTAACTTTCTTGTCCACCAGATACAAGCTTCTATAGTTGCACTTCGAAATACAAGAGGTCTTCCATGGCCAAAGGAGAAGAAGAAGAAAGAAGATGAAGACATTTTAGACTGGCTTAAGGAGATGTTTGGCTTTCAGGTGGATATACACTCGAATCTTGCCGACATATTCACTATCCATCTGTAGCATAATGAATGAATATATAAACTTACATTTTCTCTTAAGTTCTGGTATTAGAAATTGGGTTACCAAGCTCAACCTTATGCATAATTGAGTTACTTTAAGTAATACCATATACATGTTAACAACGTGATTTGCTGCATTACTGAAAAATTGTTCTGGATATATTCTTTGGGAAGATGGATTTAGCACACGGCCAAATGACTGAGCTTTGTTAATGCAATCTTCTTTACTATAAGTGGTGGTTTCATTTTAAAAGGAAAAAATGAAAGTAAGATGTCTAGATCGATTCAATTGGAGCATGTAATCCATAATGTTGAGCTCCCCATATTGGGATAAATGCTTACATGTTATTATTGCATGTTTATTGAGTGCAGACGGATAATGTAGCGAATCAGAGGGAACACTTAATTTTATTGCTGGCCAATGTGCACATTAGGCAGCCAAAGCAGGATGAACAACCCAAGGTATGTTGGTTTCTTTGGTTTTCTTTGAGTTCTTAACATTATAATGCTTTTCTTCTACTAGATGTAGCTTGACATTTCTTTCGGTTAGTTGGATGATCGGGCGCTGACTGAAGTTATGAAGAAACTTTTCAAGAACTACAAGAAATGGTGCAAGTACCTTGGTCGCAAGAGTAGCTTATGGTGAGGCTTTATGAATGTAGAGGTTTATCTACGTAAAGCCGGAAACTTCCTTTCACTTTGGCAAATACATATTAAACATTCTTGTGAAGGAAGGTTTTGATACTGATGATTTGCTCTTGATCTTGCTTGTAACATGTCGATATTTTCTATTATAGGCTGCCTACTATCCAACAGGAAGTTCAGCAACGGAAATTGCTATATATGGGTTTATACCTTCTCATTTGGGGAGAAGCTGCAAATTTGAGATTCATGCCGGAATGCCTGTGCTACATTTATCATCATGTATGTATTCTTGGAAGTTTTAACCTTGCTAAACTTTTAGTTTCTCCTCGTTTGCTTTTTTCCCCATCATATGATGCCTGCAAATTGATTTGTGAGTTTTGTTATTGGAAACTTGGTTATAACTTATAAATGAACATTTGATTTAAACAAGTAATGATCAGAAATTTTATACTGCTTCAGTAACTGGATCATCATTGATGCTAAATGAAATAGTTAAGTAGCAATCTCTGTGATGAAAATACAGCTTCCAATATTTAACTTTTCTGGTCATAAAAATGCATGTTAGAATTCTTCTCTTGTGAAGTTTTGGTCTTGATTACAAAAATTGGGATGGTCAGTTTTTATGTTCTTGCTTTTTTAATCCAAGCCCTGCATGTTAACTTCACTCTTTTTCACATTTTTTTAGATGGCATTTGAACTATATGGCATGCTTGCTGGAAGTGTTAGTTCCTTGACAGGAGAGAATATCAAACCTGCATATGGCGGTGATGAAGAGGCTTTCCTGAAAAAAGTTGTGACTCCAATTTACAAAGTCATAGCTACGGTAATGCTTCCAGCTTGTGTTTCTTGAACGTCAGGTTACTATATATCATTTTCGATTGATTGTAATTTTTCATGTTCCTCAGGAAGCTGGACAAAGTAAAGGCGGGATATCTAAACATTCGAAATGGAGAAACTATGATGATTTGAATGAATATTTCTGGTAATATTTTGACCCTTTTACATTCTTAGTGATATTGTGATGCATACCTTAACTGGTGATTGAATTGTAGGTCAGTGAACTGTTTTAGACTAGGTTGGCCGATGCGTGCTGAAGCTGATTTCTTCAGCCTTCCCAGAGAACATATCCGTGCAAACCGAAGGGAGGTAAAAAAAGTTTTTTTTTTTTTTTTTTTTTTGCTTTCAAAGGAGTACATTGATTAACATTCCCATGATCTCTTTCTTGTCACTTTAAGATGGTGATAAAGATTACTAATGTAAATAGTGTCTCGAGAATTCAAATTACATAGTGGGCACCTTTTTGCACAATTCAATCTATTATGTGAGGTCATTTCGAATCTATCATTACTTCGATACCCTTGCAGTTGTTTCCAATTAGCGAATTCTAGGTCATGTTACTGAATTAGTAACTATAAAGAGGCCATCAACTCACCTGTGATTTCAGCAATTTGGTTATCATGGTTGAATTCAAGGGTGTGCTTGGCATCAGTTCCTCGGCGATGACAAAACTTATTTTGACAATATGTATTATTTGTAGGATGCTTGGTAGCTTGCTAAGTATGAGCATTTGCATGATCATCTTAAAAACTTTGTAATCCTGAAAATATTGTTTACTCAAGAGTTATTAGTTTCCAATGAAAGGTAAGGATGGGCCAAAGTAAATCCATTGATGGTTCCAATCACATTATGATCTTTATTTTTAATTCTTTGTGTAAAACTTTAATCCTGTTGTCGACATCTTCTGTGTTCAATTGATGCTGGTCAGTATTACATTGAATCATGTCCATGTTTCAATTATGGCAATCCAATAATAGCAACAATTTTGACTTTGCAATTGTAGCTTTTTAAGTTTTCTTGAAATATTTTGACTGCTGTTTGTCTGTCCTCTCTGATATCATTCAACGGTGTCGTATTGCCCTACACCTTTTTATTGATATCTGCTATCCCCAGGACATTGAATCTGCTAATAAAGGGCCTAAATGGATCAGAAAAATAAACTTTGTCGAGATACGCTCATTTTGGCATATATTTCGGAGTTTCGACAGGATGTGGAGTTTTTTTATTTTGTGCCTGCAGGTAACCAATCTAAAATTTTTACATTAATTTATTCTCTGTGCAACCTACAGGTTTCCTTGTCTGTTATTTTGATTGGATGCATTTTGAATTGAAGGCGATGATCATCATCGCCTGGAATGGTGGCAGTCTAGGTTCAGTATTTGATGAGGATGTGTTCAAGAAAGTGCTTAGTATTTTCATTACGGCAGCAATACTAAAGTTTGCACAAGGTAATAAAAAAAGTTGTCCCCCCTAGTATACAAGTTTACTGACATTAAAAATTACTCAAAATTGTGATCACAGCTTCTCTCGATGTTGTTATGAGCTGGAAAGCAAGGATGAGTATGTCCTTGCACGTGAAGCTGAGATACATACTGAAGGTTGTTTCTGCGGCAGCATGGGTGATTGTGTTGACAGTGACTTATGCATACAGTTGGAAAAATCCTCCTGGATTTGCACAGACTATTAAAAACTGGTTCGGGAATGGATCGGGTTCTCCTCCTTTGTTCATTGTCGCAGTCTTGATTTACCTATCTCCCAATATGCTATCTGCTTTGTTGTTCTTGTTTCCATTGATCCGGAGGAACCTTGAAAGATCAGACTACAAAGTCGTGCGGCTAATGATGTGGTGGTCACAGGTATCGGATCCTTTTTATCTTTGAAAATATTTTTACTAAGTAGTTGCTGTTTGAATGTAAATTTTTACTTCTCTGATTACATGCTGACGATCTCTCTTTGATTTTTTTTTTGGTTCCCTGTAGCCTCGGCTCTACGTCGGAAGGGGGATGCAAGAAAATGCATTTTCTGTTTTCAAGTATAAGTTGATCCTAATCGTATTAACTATTAGATACGTTCATATCTATGATTTAACCATTTTCATTTGTTTTTTAGGTATACATTATTCTGGGTTCTGCTCTTGCTAGCAAAGCTGGCGTTCAGCTTTTATGTCGAGGTCCCTTTCTGATCCTGGTTCTGGTTAAACTGTCGTAAACATTAATCTATTTTTGTGGAGAAAAAATTGAATTGATGCATTTTCTTGCCTGCAGATAATGCCTCTTGTTGGCCCGACTAAAGAAATCATGCAGGTTCATATAACCAGATATCAATGGCACGAGTTCTTCCCTCGAGGTAGTTCCATTAATCAAGATCCCTCAGTTTGTTGCTTTCGTGTGTGAGTTTACGGCCAAAAGATGTGCTTAATTTTTCGTGTTTTGTGGTAATGTATCAGCAAGAAACAACATTGGAGTGGTGATTGCACTTTGGGCTCCCATTATTATCGTATGTCCATGATTATCATTGTTGTGCTGATCTGATTTTACTCGACGCGTGCACCTTCGCTTACAATGCTTCTTTGTGGTTTCCTCCAGGTATATTTTATGGACCCTCAGATTTGGTACGCTATATGGTCCACAATATTTGGCGGTATATATGGAGCATTCCGCCGTTTGGGCGAGGTTGGTTGAGATTTTTAACATAAACATTGATTCTTGTCTTCAATTCCTCATTGAATTACACTGTTCTTCGTCAGATTCGGACATTAGGAATGCTTCGATCTCGGTTCGAGTCAATACCTGGAGCTCTCAATGCCTGTTTGATCCCAGCTGAAAAAGATGAAAAGCCTAAGGGGCTGAAGGCCACATTATCCCGGAAATATCCTGTGGTTAGTGAAAATCCAACTTCGGTTTATATCCAATCGCCGTTTGCAGATAACATTCAGTGTTGTTTTACAGATTCAATCTAATAAAGAGAAAGGGGCACCTCGATTTTCTCAAATATGGAACCAAATAGTCGAAAGCTTCCGAGAGGAGGATATTATAAATGATAGGTTAAAGCATTCTCCATTAAACAAAACATAACATATATATGATCATTTTATACCTTTCTGTAAGTAACTTTATTTCTTGTTTTCGATTCGGATTATGGAAACAAACAGAGAAATGAGCTTGTTGCTCGTGCCATATAGTGCCGACCATGACTTGGACCTTATCCAGTGGCCTCCTTTTCTACTAGCTAGTAAGGTAGGTATTCCGAAACTACGATCTTCATGATATATTTCAAGCTAAGAACTTATAGGTTATGTTTTTTGTAGCTTCCCATAGCTCTTGACATGGCTAAAGATAGCACTGGGAGAGACAAAGAGCTTAATAAACGACTGAACGCTGACATGTACATGGGGTGTGCCATTCGTGAGTGCTACGCTTCGTGTAAGAATATTCTCAACCATTTGGTTGTGGCCGATCGTGACAGGCGGTGAGTTAAGTTAAAGTAACAAAATCGAAGTGTCTTCTGATTTTATTACCTCATTTGATCGTCGTTTCTTCTTTTTGTCATTCTAGTGTCATAAATGAGATATTCGACAAAGTTGATGAGCACATCGAAGAAGGCAGTCTTATCAATGATCTAGATATGAGTGCTCTCCCTGCCCTCTACGACCAATTTGTGCTGCTAATAGACCTTCTGGTAAATCTTTTAGTTAATGTTATTGTGCACAGCCGTGATTTTAATTGCAGATCCGGAAAATAAATTTTCTATGGCGCAGAGTCAAAACAACAAAGAGAAAGAAGATGAAGTGGTCATCGTCTTACTGAACATGCTCGAGGTCGTGACTAGAGACATAATGCTAGACATGGTTCCGAGGTAATTACACAAAACCATTGTGTTATATAGACACTGTCTATACACTCTTAGAAAATACTAAAATTAGTAATCGAAGAGTATTTGTAAGTTCTCATTTATGATTTTTTAAGCAAAGAGAAGTCGGGTGCTTCGATTTTTCATGGAGATGATTTTATCTCTAGTAAAATAACATATTTTCGCTAACATCTTTCATTCATATTAAAATTTTATTAGTGTATATTCCAATTGCTATATTCCAATTGCTACTGTTAATCTGAGAGCAAAATTCTAATTCATTTCGGTTAATAGTTTGCAAGATTCGAGCCATGGTGGCAACTACGGTATGCATCAGGGTGTGACTCCACTAAAACAGAATCAGTACTTCGGAGAACTCAATTTTCCTGTGAAGGAAGAAACCGAAGCCTGGAAAGAGAAGGCGAGCAATTGGCATTCATAACCAAATATGAAATGAGGCTGTAATGTAATGATATTCTTGATCTGTGCTAAAGAAAGGCTTTCTTGTTTCCCGTTTCAGATTAGGCGGCTTCATCTGCTGCTGACCGTCAAGGAATCAGCTATGGATGTGCCGTCCAATTTAGAAGCAAGAAGACGCATTTCATTCTTCTCGAATTCGTTGTTCATGGACATGCCTGCAGCTCCTAAAGTCCGCAACATGCTCTCCTTTTCGTAAGCCTCTTCTTATAAATGCATAAGTGTTCTTCTACTGTTGTCAGCACATTCTAATTCCCGGAATCCATGTGATACTATTTTTTGCAGCATCTTAACTCCTTATTACGACGAAGAGGTTTTGTTCTCTATGGATTTGCTGGAAAAGCCGAATGAAGATGGTGTTTCGATACTATTTTACCTGCAAAAGATTTTCCCTGGTTTGTATTTTTGAACTTGACGACGTATTGGATATGTACAGCTTAGTAACTATCCATATGAGGTGATGTTTTTTTTAAATCGTGCAGATGAATGGGAAAATTTTCTCCAGCGGCTTGGTTGCAGCGAGGACGATATAAAAGGGAATGCGCAGCTGGAGGAAGAGCTACGTCTATGGGCGTCGTATCGAGGACAAACATTGACAAAGACTGGTAATCGATTGCTTTTTGGTTTTTACTCTACTTCCGTAGTCGAAAGAGTTATTAAAGGGTGTGTTTGTTTGGGGGTTTAGATTTTGAGTTCGAATTTGAATAGTAAAAAGAATTTGAATTGAAATAGTTACGTGATGTCATATAAATAAGTGTTGATGTGATGTTTTAAATGAAAAATTAATTTTTAGTATAATATAAAAAATGAGAAATATATGTTTAATTTGATGTTTTTGAGAAATTTTTTTTGATGAATAGTAGATTTTTTGGAAAATCCTATAAACAAACACACCCTATGTGCAGTCAGAGGAATGATGTATTACCGGCAAGCTTTGGAACTTCAAGCTTTTCTTGATATGGCGGACGAAGAAGGTCCTTTCCTCGATAAATTTATTCCTCGTTAGTTTTTTGCCATTTGCCGAGCTGTGAGAATGTAATGTAAGTCATTCAATGCTTGCAACAGAATTAATGAAAGGCTACAAGGCTATCGAACATAGCTACAACGAACAAATGAAAGATCAAAGCTCCTTGCTGTCGCAATGTCAGGCAGTGGCCGACATGAAGTTCACGTATGTGGTCTCCTGTCAAAGTTACGGGATTCAGAAAAGATCGGGCGATCGCCGCGCCACGGACATCTTAAGACTCATGACAAAGTACGTTTTCTTGAATCGTTATACATTTTTATTATAGGGCGTTAGTCTATGAAAATTTGTACAATGATTATTGTTGGTAGACTCCCATTTGTAAATAAATAAATAAAGGATGCATAGCTTTTAGGTGAGACTGTCATTTATTTCATTTAAAATAGTATCAGAGTCTTAGATTTCGAATTCGAGTCCCACCATCTCCCGTTTGTCATTGTCCACGGACAAATTTAGTTTGGTGGCTGTATTAGTAGACTCCAGTTTGTAGATAAATAAATAAATGATGTGTATCCTAACAACTTAAACTTTTAGATGAAACGATTATTTACTTCATCTAACAATTATATAATTTTGAAGGTACCCGTCCATTCGGGTAGCGTATGTTGACGAAGTTGAAGAAACCGGCGGCGATAAATTGGGTAAAATGGTTGAGAAAGTGTACTATTCAGCTCTCGTCAAAGCTGCACCGAAATCCGTCGATTCATCTGAGCCCGATCAGTTAGATCAGGTTATTTATCGGATAAAGCTACCGGGACCCGCCATACTCGGTGAAGGCAAACCGGAGAACCAAAACCATGCCATAATCTTCACCCGCGGCGAAGGCTTGCAGACGATTGATATGAATCAGGTAATTTATTTTCGACGTGTTGAGATAATAGTGTGACGAATTAGTAACACAATGGTTATGTGTTTTTTTTTCCAGGACAATTATATGGAGGAAGCCTTCAAAATGAGAAACCTATTGCAAGAGTTCCTTAAAACGCACGGTGTGAGGAAGCCGACGATTCTTGGACTTAGAGAGCACATATTTACCGGCAGGTATGTTTGCTCGACTCATTTTTTCTATCCCGATTCTGTTAGTCTTAATGTATGAGTTTTGTATCTATGTAGTGTTTCGTCACTTGCCTGGTTTATGTCGATGCAAGAAAATAGTTTCGTGACAATTGGCCAGCGGCTGCTTGCGAATCCATTGAAGTAAGTCATTCCATGTAGTCTTCTTTTCGCAAATTGTATATATATATGTATATAGTAAATTGTTTGATTAGTACAGTATCTTATCCATTTATCATTTTATAACTTAAGTGGACCATGTTTGAAAATAATTCCGTAAGTAAATTTTTTTGTTAAAATGGTTCATCGGTGCCGAATTCGCCACATTGGTCCACCTTTGCTAACATGGCGCTGACGCGGCCGATATGTCATCGCCACGTAGATGCCACGTTTGAGGATCATTTTAGAAAAAAATTTTACTTGCAAGACTATTTTCAGACAGTTCATTTAAAGTTTTAAAAATAATAAATGAGGGTTGACGTGACATCTATATGGAGATAACATATCAGCTGCATCAGCCCATATTAGCAACAGCAGGCCAATGTGGCGAATCCGGCACCGGAGGACCATTTTAGCGAAAAAATTTTTACTTACGGGACTATTTTCAGACATGGCCCACTTAAACTCTGTAAAATGATAAAGGGGTCATACAAGATTATAAAAACAGTTTATGTATTCCTAATAGCTTACCATTTTTACTGTTATTCAATTCCAGGGTTCGTTTTCACTATGGCCATCCAGATGTATTCGATAGGTTGTTTCATTTGACAAGAGGCGGCGTCAGCAAAGCGTCTAGAATCATCAACTTGAGCGAGGACATTTTTGCAGGTACCCATATTCTTAAAACAAATCTGAAAAGATTTAATCACGATGATCGTTCTAACATTTTCTCACGTCTCGAAAGGTTTCAATTCCACTCTTCGCGGAGGCAACGTCACGCATCATGAATACATACAGGTTGGTAAAGGAAGGGATGTGGGACTCAACCAAATCTCACTTTTCGAAGCAAAGATCGCCTGCGGCAACGGCGAGCAGACCGTGAGTCGAGATATCTATCGACTGGGGCATCGTTTTGACTTTTTCCGAATGTTGTCCTGCTATTTAACCACCGTTGGGTTCTACTTTAGTACTCTGGTATGCACAACATTCATACGTCTGGTCACCGATTTACGCTTGTGCTAGAAAAGAAGTGATTCGATAACTAATTAATGTTTTTTCGCAGCTTACGGTCCTCACCGTGTACGTATTTTTATACGGTCGTCTTTATCTCGTGCTAAGTGGCCTTGAAGAAGGGTTGAGTAGCCATCCCGCGATTCGGGATAATAAGCCTCTTCAAGTGGCTCTTGCATCTCAATCTTTCGTCCAAATCGGACTTCTAATGGCTTTGCCGATGATTATGGAGATCGGGCTCGAAAAAGGTTTCCGTAATGCGTTAACGGATTTCGTCCTCATGCAACTACAGCTCGCGCCCGTATTTTTCACGTTTTCTCTCGGGACGAGGACCCATTATTACGGACGGACATTGCTTCATGGAGGCGCACGTTATAGAGGTACGGGTCGAGGATTTGTCGTGTTTCATGAGAAGTTTGGGGACAACTATCGATTGTATTCCCGGAGCCATTTTGTGAAGGGGATCGAGTTGATGGTTTTACTTCTCGTCTATCATATTTTCGGGAGGGCGTATCGGGGGGTTGTGGCGTACGTTTTGATCACCGTATCGATATGGTTCTTGGTTGGAACGTGGCTGTTTGCGCCGTTCCTTTTCAATCCGTCGGGGTTCGAGTGGCAAAAAATTGTGGACGATTGGACGGATTGGAATAAATGGATGAATAATCGAGGGGGGATTGGCGTGCCCCCGAAGAAGAGTTGGGAGTCGTGGTGGGAGAAAGAGCAAGAGCATCTCTTCCATTCGGGATTGCGCGGAATCATCTTCGAAATTTTGTTGTCGCTTCGGTTTTTCATTTATCAGTATGGATTGATCTATCACTTGAGCTTCACCAAAGGGAAGAGCAACTTCTTGGTATGATTTTTCGATACCTTGGCTCCTACTTTTCTCTATTTGTTGTTTCGAAGTGTTGATTGTCGAATGTGTCGATTTCTTGGACAGATTTACGGCTTGTCGTGGTTGGTGATTGCCGCCGTCTTTCTAATTATGAAGGTAACGAACATTCGAATTAATCCAATGTCGTGTTTGTTTCTGTTTCAGTTTTCATGCTGACTGTCACGCATATTCTGACAGCACGTGCTTTTATATGACGTAACATTATGTTATGTTATATATTTACATGCATTGTTTGTCTTGTTGATTTGTGTTGATGCTAATTTGAACCCGGAAGCAGACTAATTGCCGCTAGCGGTGAGCATTGGTCGGTCCAAATCGAAAAAACTGATTTTTTTTGGATTCGGACAGATTGGTTTGGCATGTTTGGGTAATTGGTTCGGTTTGATTCGGTCTAGAACTGGATTTATAAATTTGGGTTTTAGTTCGGTTATGGTTCAGTTTTTAAACCAAAAAAATTGAAAAAACCGAAATTTAAATAAAATAAATTTTATACTTTATAGGGTCAATTGTTTTTTTAGTACCATGTGTGACCCCTTTTATCATTTTAAAACTTTAAGTGGACCATGTTTGAAAATATCTTGTAAGTAAAATTTTTTCGTTAAAATGGTCATCCGGTGCCGGACTCGCCACGCTGGTCCGCCGTTGCTAACGTGACGCCGACGCGACTGACATGTCGTCACCACGTAGATGCCACGTCAGCGACACGTGAAATTTATTTTATTTTTTATTTTACAAAATGTTTTGGTAAACTATTTCTTTTAGTCTCGTATATGACCTCCTTTGTCATTTTTAGGACATTTAAATGGACTCTGTCCGAAAATAGTCCTGCAAGTAGAATTTTTTCGCTAAAATGGTCCTCCGACGTGGCATCTACGGCGATGACATGTCAGCGCCACGTCAGCAACGGCAGCCAGCGTGGCGAGTTCGGCACCGGAAGATTATTTTAGCTAAAAATTTTACTTACGGGACTATTTTCAGACACGATTCAATTGAATTCCTAAAATGATAAAGGGGATCAGGACTAAAAAAACAGTTTACCCTACTTTATATATACAACCTCCGTCCCGTAGAAAGGTTACCGTTTACTTTTTGCAGGTAGATTTTTTAATATTAATATTATATTGTGTTGTAGTAAAAAAACAAAAATACCCCTATTAGTATTGTGTAATATAAAAGTAATGACATTTTTGTAATGTAGTGTAAGTTGAAAGGATATTTATTATGTTAGGTAACAGTTACTAAATTATGTTTGGGACGGACGGGAAATGAAAAATAGCAATCTTTCAATGGGATGGAGGGAATATTATAATTTTGATCTTTAAATATTTGTATTTCAGTAGTTGACCCATTTGTAAGTTATTGGAAACATGCAATTAGAGATGAATTCTGCATTGGTGATGAAATATAAATTGAATGAATGAGTTAAAGCATCGTCATAAGAATTTCAAAAAAATTGGTTTGTTCGATTTGGGTTCGGTTTAGTTTGGCTTTGCAAATTTTGATTCGGTTTCGGTTTTGATTTTTACAAATCGAAAAATCAATCAAAATTTAAAGTTAACCAAACCGAATTGACCGAATGCTCACCCCTAACTGCCGCCTTATTCGTCTTTGTCCCGATCCCCCAAAGACATCCTAAAACCTAACATATTGGTTAATGTTGACAGCTCGTCTCGGTCGGAAGGAGGCAATTCAGCGCGGATTTTCAACTCGCTTTTCGAATTATAAAGGGCCTTATCTTTATCGCATTCGTTGGCATTCTGATCACCTTGATCGCGGTTCTTCACATAACATTTGTCGATTTTCTTGTCTGCATTCTCGCCTTCATGCCCACCGGCTGGGGATTGCTCTTGGTATGAATTCATGTTCGGTTCCAACCCCACCCACCCCATCTTATGACATTTTTTGTCGATAAACAAACATACATGCCATGGCTACAGATCGCACAAGCTTTGAAGCCACTGGTGGTGAAACTCGGAATCTGGAGATCGGTGATGACATTGGCGCGAGGCTATGAAATCGTGATCGGGCTGCTGCTGTTCACGCCGGTGGCGTTCCTGGCGTGGTTTCCTTTCGTATCGGAGTTCCAGACGCGAATGCTGTTCAACCAAGCGTTCAGTCGAGGGCTGCAGATTTCGCGCATTCTCGGCGGGCCCAAGAAGGATAAATCGTCTAGCAACAAAGAGTGAGTGAGTGAGTGAGCAATGGAGTCTTTGTTTGTTTGTGTATATATATATATATGTATGTGTATATATATAGTGTGTTGTATAAATGTAAAGGAAGAATGGCTCTTTGGATCCTCTGCTTTGGGCTAATCATCAGCAAATTTTAATGCTCCCTCGTCCAATAAATATATTCTTAATTGAGTTGTGCACGGATTTAAGAAATATTAATATTATATTGGTAGTGGGTAAAAAGTATGGATAAAAGACTTTTTTGTCCCTGTGGATGTATTATAGTAAAAAGTAGTGGCAATTGTGTAATAAAAATGAAAAAGTATGGGTAGTTTTACAGTGATATGATTATTTATGGAAATAAAACTATTGTTTTGGAATTGACAAAAATGGTAAACAAGACTAATGTATTGAGACGGAAGGAAGGAGTATAATATTCCTATTTAGTCCATTTGTGTTCGGAATACGGATTAAAAAAAAATATTTTATTGAAAAAATAAAGAAAAAGAAAATAGTTTGAAGTATTTTTAGGAATTTAATTAAAAATTAAGGAGAATGTACATAAAATGTAACAAAGTGATTGATATTTATTGTAGATAAGTATTGAATGAACGTAATAATTAAATATTGATTTTATAACTTTTTCAAATATAATAATTGAGTAAATTTAATTGGATCGTACATCATAGCATAATATATAATTCACACAACATATGTTATATATTTTGTGGTGAAATATTAATTGCTTTATGTTAATGTACTAATATCAATTACTTCAAGATAATGGGTTAATTTATTCAAATCAGCATTCTAATTGTCGCTGAAAACATAGATATGGTGATATGTATATATGGGTGACGTTGGTTTAAAGAATTTTCTCCAAATTTTACTATTCATCAATTTTTTATTTTTTTTTTCAAATTATCGAATCAATCACTTTTTTTTTATATTTTTTCTATTATATTAAAAATCAATTTTACATTCAAAATATCACATTAAAAGTTTATTTATATCACATTATATAATTATTCCAATTCAATTTTTTTTACTATTCAAATCTCAACTAAAAATCCAAACTCCCAAACAAATATATATATATATATATGATGGTATATTTAAAATCCACGCTCCCAAACAAATATATATATATATATATTTATACACTCCTTTCATTTTATTAAATATTTACAGCAACGATCTTGCTAGACACCACATATATAAGGTTCAATTTGCCTGATTTTGTGTTGCTCTGCCTTGGTTCACATCGAACATTAGCTATATATATATATATATATATATATAATATTCTCTCCGTTTCAGAGCTATAGTCTTAATTGAGTTGAACACGAAATTTAAGAAATATTGATATTATATTAGTAGTTTGTAAAAAATATAGATAAAAAGCCTTTTTGTCATTATGAGTGTATCAGTGTAAAAAGTAGTGACAATTGTGTAATAAAAATGAAAAAATAGATGTAATTTTACGGGGATTATAAAAATAAGACTATTATTTTTGGACGGATAAAAATATAAATAAGACTATATATTGTATTGGGACGGAAGGAGTATGTATTTAGGTGGGATCTCGGATTCAACGGAATCATACTAGCCATTGCCATACGCAGTAACCTTTCTCTAAAATTATATTTTTGACTGCAACTCTATTTCCTTATTTAATTTATATATTGGAAGAAGATAGAATAGGGCAGAGAAATTGTTTACATACTATAAAATGACTTTTTTTGATTTAGGATATATATTACAGATGGGATCAGACTCAATAATTCATGACAAAATGTCAACAAATCCAACAACCAAACACGTATTCCCAGACAAAAGATGACTCAAAATTATAGTCAACTTTGAGAAATTACAAAGTCAACTGGCAAGGTTGCGAGCCTCAGGAGCTCCCGGATCTCAACTCCAAAAATCATCGTAACCATTCATTACACAACAACCAGATTCGATTAGAGCAGATCATGAGCTCCAGGAGCCCCCAGGAATCCCCATCCAGTAAGGCGTTGACAAAGTCAACTCCCACCTTGCCAAGAACCATCGCACAACTTGGCAAGCAAATGCATCAATCATATTCTTTAATCTGTGAACATAACCACTATTTGTTCACGCTTCAGGTCACTTGCCACACATGATTCGCTTAATGTAACTTTTTCGTTGGGCCTGGTTTGCAGGGTATTAGGTTCGGCCAGGGTTTATCCTTGCACACTTTCGGGTAGCGGCTGCGGGTTCCCACGTCATCCAAAAAAAAAAAAAAATTGACTTTTTTTAAAAAAAAAATTAAAAATAATATTTTACTATATATAAATAATTTAATGCAAATAAACAAAAAAGAATAGAGTTGCTTTCTTTTTAGTTTGTTTCTTCTTATTATTATTTTTTTTTTATATATGAAATGGTAATTAGACATGGTGTATGTTCTTTCTGTACCAAAATTTAGGGCTATGTTTATTGTTTAGGGGATATTTTTAAATTTTTGTCATTAATTATTCATCTATGCAAAAAAATTTTCTAAGAGTATCACATGAAATATATATTTTTTTTAATAAAATTAACATCTCATTATATACGGAGTAGTAATTACTAACTATTATTTTCAAAAAAAAAAAAATCTTACAAACTTTTACTATTACAATAAATATACACTTTTTCAGTTATTTAATAATAAGTTCATTTTTTTAATAAAAAATTATATTACTATTTACTATATTTTTTATATTTTTACTATAAAAATAAAGAAAATGCATACTACAGTGAAATTCGTGCCAAAAATAATTACTTTTATTTTTATGATATTATTTTTTATCACGTGATATTGTAAAAATTACTTTTCAAATTAAAATTTTACATAATAATTTGGGGGAAAAAAGTCAAAACTCTAATAATAATAAGAGATAGTATTATAAACCCATTCGATCGAATGAATGCATGCATTTGAGAAAGAAAGGGTGGGAATGGAGTTGAACAAGCATTTCAGCCACAACCACGGCCTGGCACCCCACCACCTCCCCCCCGGTGGCGCCGCCGCCCTCATTTGCGGCGGCTGCAAACTTCCGGCCTCCGGCAACGTCCATGTGTGCTGGAAGTGCAGCTACTTCCTCCACGACCAATGCTTCAGAGCCCCACGCTCCATGAAGCACCCCTCCCACCCACCCCACCCCCTCACCCTCACCCCCTTCCCCACTTACCCCTCTTCCTCCTTCTTCTGCAACTCCTGCCACGCCCCCGGCCATGGCTTCTCCTACACCTGCTCCCACTGCGACTTCGACCTCCATCTCCACTGCGCAAACCCTAACCCTAATTTCATCAATCCCAATTTACCAAATTACCCTCCCTCTCCTCCCGTTCAATCCAATCCAAATTTACCAAATTACCCTCCTTCTCCTTCCGTTCAATCCAATTCAAATTTACCAAATTACCCTCCTCCTTCTCCCGTTCAATCCAATTCAAATTTACCAAATTACCCTCCCCAAACAGGAATCTACCCACCGCCGATTGACCCGATTTACAGCATCGTCGTCAGTAGCTCCACAAATCCACCCGCCCCAAACCCGAATCCGGTGATTTCACATCTGGAGCATCCGCCCGCGAAGCCGCCGGCGATTATCAAGCATTTCAGCCACCCGCACGTCCTGACGGCGATGGAGGTGGAGAAGAGGAAAGGAAAGGAGTGCTCGGCGTGCGGCGGCGACGTCGCCGGCGCGGCGTACCTCTGTACGGAGCCTCACTGCGGATTCAATCTCCACAAAACGTGCTTCGAGTCGCCGCCGGAGGTGAAGCACAAATCGCACCTGCAGCACCCACTCCGGCTGCTGGCGGCGCCGCCGTACAACGGCGGCTTCACCTGCAACGCCTGCCTCAAGGAGGGGAAGGCCTTCGTCTACAACTGCGCCGCCTGCTCCTACGACCTCCACATCGACTGCGTCCGGTGGCCGGAAAAGGTCGTCCGGCCAGACCACGCCCACGCACTTACGCTTTACTACTCGTCGCCGGCGGCCGACGCCGGCGACGGCGAGGAGGTGACGTTTATGTGCGACGTGTGCAGCAATCCGGTGCACGATATGGCGTGGGTCTACTTTTGCCGTGACTGTAACTTCGGGACGCATTTGGAGTGCGTGGCGGCGGGGATTAAGCCGGAGAGTGACTCCGGCGCCGGCGCCGGCGGGAAGAGTCAGGAGGAAATGATTAGTGAAACGGAGCTGAAAATTGCGATGCTGCAGTTGTTGTTGGGAGAAGAAGGGTTTAAGATTGCTGTCGATCTACAGTGAAATTGGTGATCTGATGCATGTAAATGTAACTGGAATTTGGATTAAATTTGTGTTTGGTTGAAATATTTTTGGAAAATTTGTATTTTTTACTCAAATCTTTTTCCTTAAATACATTTAATTAAATATTTGTTTTTTATTATAATAAGAATCGATTTTAGGTTTAAAATATTATATAATGCTTATTTAATTTTACCTTCTTAAATTTACGTTTAAGATAATCCCTCTTAGTTTGTGACATTTAAGATTAGATATGAAGTTTTAGATATTTCGTAACTAATATATATTAGTAAAAATAATTACATTTAATAAAAATAATTATATATTAAGATGATTAAATAGTTTAATTTCATTAAAAAAATATATAAATTATGAATTTTAAAATTGAATTAAAATGTATAATTATATTTTTTTTAAAAGAAAATGACAAATTAGGTAGAGAATAGAAAGAATTGACAAATTAAGTGAGAGTATAGGGTATTAAATAGGACCTAAAATATACTCTTTGTCCCACATAATTTGTCAATTCTTTCTATTTTTGCCGTCCTAAGTAATGTATCATTTCATTGAAAATATAATTATACACTTTAGTCATATTTTAAAATTTATAATCTTTATTTTAAATAAATTATTTATTCATCTTAATCTATAATTATTTTTATTAAATCATAATTTATTTTACTAATATAATTTTTAATTACTTATTAATTACACAATACGCGAGCTAAAATAGAAAAATTAGATGGAAATGAGGGAATATTAATTAACTTTTAATGTGTATTGAATTTTCGCCAATGATATAGGCCCAATTAACATATCCGAAAGCCCAATTTATTCAAACTCGCTTTATATCTGTTCCATTCACACTAGGTCCAATATGTGGCCCATTATACTTTTGGCTTAAAATGGACTATGAACAGTTGAATTTTAGTTTTGTTTACAAAATTATTTTAAAATTTTTGATATTATTAATTATAAGAAAATCACATCAAATACTAACTTTGTAGTATTTTAAATTTTTTTAAAAAATTTTAAAATCTCAAAATTTGTCTAGATGGAGCCATAGCCACTATTTATATTCACTTCGTCCACTTAAAAACTAAATATTTACTTTTTATTAGTAATTTAATAAATATTATGTATATATTTTTATAATAGTTTTGATATGTAAAGATTATTTTACATTAATATGATATGCAAAATTAAAGTATGGTGGTATTGGTGTAAAGAAATATAAATATGAGAATATTTGTAATATATATAGTAAAGTTCATACATATATTTTACCAAATGGACTTTTTGTTATTTATATATAATTATTTTTATTATAATTATTTTTATTATAATTACAAAATAATAATTATCAGTGTGACAAATGAAAAAAAAATTTAAAAAAAAATAATAATACTTCATTAAATTGAGAGAAAAAAAAAAAGAAATGTAATTCTCATGTTACTCGAAAAAACAAAATAATGTTATCATATTATCTCCCATAAAATATTCTATCAAATAACAAGAGAAACACAGACAGAAACCAAAGAAATTTGAAATTTTTGCATAATAATAAAAAATTAAATATTGAATATAATATTTATGGGATAAAAAACAAATGGGAACATTTAAAAAGTGAATTGAATTGTGGGTATAACAAGAAAATTATCAATCCAAATATTATTTTTAATTTGAAATCCTTAATTCGAACGTAATACGAATTTTCTCGAATTATGTACAAGTCAAATTTTGTTTCTAAGTCACCTCATAATTCGAAGGAACTTGAAAAATCTTCCATAGAGACAAAAAAAAAAAAAAAAAAAAAAAAAAAAAAATAATAATAATAATAATAATAATAATAATATTATCTAAAAAAACTTGATCCAAAATAAATCAGAAAATCTAAATTTGTTTTTTTATAATTAATAAATATTGTTTATTTTCATAATTTTAAATTTTTTTTATTTTATATTATTCTATAATATATTTAGATTTTTTTTTAAAAAAATAATGTTAATTATAAAAATCAAACTAAAATCAGGTGAATTTAAATTTCAAATTATCCGATTATATGGTTTCTATGTTTCAATCAACACTAAACCGGACCCAATTGTTTTTCATCTCAGTTTTGGATCGACATGATTTTTGAAAAAATCAAAACAACCAATTCCGAACCTAAAAATTTTCAGGACAAACAGGTTCGATATAATTCAATTTTGAAGATGCCGGAGCAAACTAGAATTTTAGATAACCTGTTTATTGCAAATCAAATCAAATCAAATCAAATTATAAAAAATTCTTCAATACTCAGTAAGTCACTGGTAATGAAGCAGCAATTCAAATCCAATTAACAGCAAATTCAAGCCTTATCATATAATACACAACAAACAAACAGGAGGACATACCTCACTCAGCCACACCTCCTTCATCTTCCTACTTACGGATCGATCAATCGAAGAATCCCATCAGATGATTACCTAGAAGCCAGCCCATCCAGAAGGCTGGGATCCCAACTTACTATCAACAACCCTCGTCGCAGTCGCCTCGCCAAACCGCTGAGAATTACTCAAAGTTCCCACCACAGGTGGTACATTCATGTTGGAACTAGCAGTGGGAGCCACCTTAAAAGCATCGGTTTCAAACCCCCAAGAATTGGCGCCACCGCCCGCCTGTTTGTTCTGCTGCTGACCATTTCCGTTTCTTGTTCTAACAGATTTTGGCCCATTGTTTGTCGGCGTGGTCTGCGCCTTGGAGTCGTCAGCAAAGGCCTGCCATTGCTGAGAATTTGAGCTTGAAGAAGATGTAGGCTCGAAGAAGCCCTGCTGTAGCTCCCATATTGTTCCTTCAATCTTCTTCTCATTCATCTTTTACAATCAAAACAAACAAATGAGTTTTTATAATTTCGCAGAAAATCGGGATAATGATTGTGTTAGGCGAGAGAGAGTATACCGGTGGAGTGGTGGAGGATTGGTTTCCTGAAGGAGTCAGGTTTCTAACAGTATCTCGGCTCGGAGATGGACCTTTTGCAGCCATGGCTTGTTTAAGTTCTTGTATCTCTTGCCGTTGTGATCGGCAAATAGCCGAGAGTTTTTCGTACTTTGAGGTAATTTCTGCCTTCTCTGCATTCGCGCGTTCTAGCTGCTCCTTAAGCTTCTCAACTTCAGCCTCTAACATCTTCCCCTCAGGTTTCTGCGGATTATTGGCAGGACTTCGTTTGTTGACATCGAACTCAGAAATAAATGAGTTAGATGCATCCATTTGAAAGGTGGGAGTCAGTTCTGGTTTCGGCTGCTTGGATCTTCCGGAGATATGATCTGAGTCGTCTGGAAACAGATTTATGTTCTTGGGGGAGCAGTCGGTTGGTCTATTGACTGATCTTCCTTGCAAATTCTTTTGGACATTGGGAGATTGAAAATTTTGCTCCATCCTTGGAGGTGGATGAGAGACGGGATGCCTGTCAGGCCAAATAATCTCGCTCATTGAAGATTTCGGGTCTGATGTGTCCTCGTCGTACTTCGGCCTGTTCTTAGCCTCTTTGCTTTCTGCATCTTTTGCATGCTGTGTGTTCCAGAAAGAACCAAGAGCAGCAGAGCTTTCGCTTGTTCTTGAATTTTTTGAAGCTGACGACGTGATATTTTGAGATGCATCAGAGGCTGAAGATGGAGGCGGAGGAGGGCTTCTACGAGGCATTGGACTAGACTTGTTTGCAGGCTTTGGCATCCCTGCAGGTACAATGATTTTGCAAATCCATCAAAAACAAGAAACCGAAATTGAAATTGAAATTCAGGCGTAGCTTAAAATAATTTTAATTGATCACACCAAAGAATAACTTATAAATATATTCCAATAGACAGAATATTCTCACCTACAAGGACATCGGAACTTTTTTGTGGCAATTCTGGTGGTCTATCAGGCAATGGCTTCCGAAGCCCATCTGGTAAAAGATCATTTACACGAAACCATACCTGCAGCAAAAACAGGCCGCATAAAGTGTTATCAGTATGGCATACATGCAGCAACCTTAGCCCTCATGATTTCCATGGGTGCAAAGATCTATAACTAACCTAAAATTCATGGAGATGAATGGCCAATCAAGCAAAATGCTTGCCTGCGTGATATCAGGTCGGTCATCGGGAGAAGACTGAAGCATATCTTTGATAAGATCTATCAGCAGTTCATTGTATTTGGGTAAATCTGGGATGCGATAGTTTCCGTTCAAAATTTGAAGCTTCGATTCACCATCAAATGCTGGCTTTAAGTAACATAAGCGGAAAAGGAGACAGCCGAGTGCCTGCAGACAACAAAGGCGAATGATTACCAGCTCACATAAGATGTGAAAACATTTTTTGATTGACTAATAAAAATGATCCCTAGTCCAACTTACCCATATATCCACCTTCTCATTTATAAGCTCTCTTCGAAATAGATCCCACATCTAAGACATTGAAGGAGAGAAAATATCAGAGTTGCACGATGCTATCAAAAGGAGACAACATCACCTTTAATTTGAAAAAAGATCATTATCTACCTCGGGGGCTCTATAGGCAGGTGTAGTGTGTTTCCTAATATTATCTTCCTCGATTCCCATTTCTTCAGGCTTCTCAAAGCGTTTGTGGTTGGTAGTAATGCTACCAAAGTCACAGAGCTTCCACAACCCATCAGGCCCCAGCAAAATATTCTCAGCCTTCAAATCTCTAGTAAAATGCAACTCAGAGTGATAAACAAATTAGTATAGAAATAATCTGAGGATATACGGAAGAGTGAACACATAAATTATCAATACCAAACTACCCAGTGAAACTTCCAAAAAATGCCAGTTATGCCTAATGTGTTTGTGATGACATATAAACAAGCTCAGCTTACCTGTAATAAGCATTTTTGTGTTAATGCCACGAGTAGATCATAAACTGTATATCAAATTTCTAATTAAAGACATCTTGAAATCTTCTAATGGGATTTCATGTTTCAACCCATATTTTAAATAAAAATATGTGACAGGGAAATAACCATAAGCACAATGCTTTGGAAGGAAGACAACTTGTTCAATATTGGAGTAATCTTTCCGCACATAACAAAGTAACTTAAAAACCAATACCGGTGAGCAATAGGAGTCGTCTGACAGTGCATTGCAAAGACAGCATTGCACACATCCCTAAAAATTGTTAGGACCTGCTTCTCCTCAAAGAACCCAGCTCCCCTGCTCTCCAACACATTAACCAGGGATTTCTCGCAATGTTCCATGAGAAGGAAAGCTTCTTTGGTTCGACCCATGTCAAAAATAGCATGAGCATTGAGTGTAACAACATTAGGATGTCCTTTGAGAGTTTTCATAACTGATATCTCCTTCATTACCAACTCTTCTGATTCTTGATCATTACATATGATGTGCTTTAATGCATATTGCTTCGATCCATGTATTGCGTCCCTAGCTAAGTAAACACATGAGAAGCCACCCTCTGCAATAGCATTTCGAACCTGAACCTTATAATTTCCAATGTCTATGACACGACCTTCAAGCCCATTTTGTTCTTTATGCATAAAGGGTTTGAATTTCCACATGTTTGGTGATTTTGCGTCTTACCGAATGGAAGCTCTGCACATAGTCATTTCAAGACGTGTGTTGATAAGCACACTATGTACTACAAAACTAAAAAGAATTTACTCTAGCATGCAATAGGAGAATGAAGAAAATTTTCACAGGTGAAGTCAATAATAGTAAATAAATAACAATGAATGCTTTCAATGGCCAAACACCAGAAACAAAGTTCTCACTAACTATATATCTCTATCAGTATAAATAATAAAGCCACTGTTTCTATATGAATTTTTAAAAGGAAAATAAAGGTTTGAAATTGTAGGTAGAAATAATGCCACCTAAATCTGCAGTAATCACAAAATTTGGGTCTTCGGTGTAAACAGAAATGGGGACAATGTGTTATCAATTTGCAACGTATTTAAACAAGTACATGTAGAATTCAGCAACAGTCAAATTTTCATGAAAGTAACAACAGTCGTAAAAGTCATTACAGATCGTCCACCAAGTATAAGCATTAATATCGATATCTGTCACAGCATATGGCATACACATTACAAAGGCAATTGAGAACAAGCTTTCTCGCTTGAAAAGATGGGAGAGAAATCACATGATTCCCAGTTCTTTGACCTTAATGCCGCTTGCTATTACTTGCCAGAGGTACACTTTGCCCACCAAGCTACCCAGCACATGTTCTGCGTATCCTTTCACTTTTGTCTGATTCGGCTCAAGAGTGCATCTAACACTATTCTGAAACAGATTCAATTCCGATTCACTAGATATGATTCCATTGTTTATTTTGTTAATTTAGAATATATAGTTGAGTTAAATGAGCATAGGCCACAAAGTTACTCTTCCTTTATTATTTATAGATCCTGCAATTACTACTGTGTATGAAAGTTGAGCCTATAAAGTTTCCAAAGGTTCAGTTTATGTGACATTTTTTTATTGTTTGGGTGATTCTGCAACCAAAATGAAAATCATCCATTTAAGTTGGGTGATTCTCTTTGTGATTTCAACCCATGTAGGGTTCAAGTGATTCGTCACCCCTTAACCAATGCTTGGAAATTGTTAGTGTTACTCATCTTCTTTCATTTAGTTTAACAATCTTGTTATGTGTGCATCTTGGTTCTCCAAGTAGTATTTGTCTACAGAATCCTTGAATAAAAATTTGCTATATTAGTTTATTTCCACAGTCATACATCTATTTCCACAACTACCATTCAAGCATGGTATATTTATTGTACAATGCATGATCTTATTACACCTATATTGTTTAGCCTGCAATCTATGGCTCACATTCCCATTGTTCTTTGTCAACATCACGCTAGCATCATCGGCACTTATATGATCCAAGAAAAACTTAAAATGGATACATCTAACAGCTACCATTTATGCGTGGTTATACTTATTGTATTACACGTGGTCTTCCATTACACCTATATTGTTTAGCCTGTGATGTATGGGTTACGATCCCCATTGTTCTTTGTCACCATCACACTAGCATCATCAGCACTTATATGACCCAAAAAAACTTAAATGGATACATCTGTTTTCACAGCTACCAATTATGCATATGGTTGGTTATATTTATTGTATAACACGTGGTCTTTCGCTACACCTATATTGTTTAGCCTGTGATCTATGGCTTACGATCTTATTGTTCTTTGTCACCATCACACTACCATCATCCGCACTTATATGACCCAAGAAAAAACTTAAAATGGATTCAGCTACATTTATAACTGCTGCTTCCGTCACCCTGGACCCCACCCAGACCACCAGCAGCCAAGCTCCCAAAACGCACATTAAAAAAATCTACAGACAAATGCCGACATATGCTAAACTTATAAATGGTAAAAAAATACATGCAATAATGAAAACAAGGATCCATATGAAACATAAAGACACGGTTACACCATTGTTCAAAGATCTACATAGAAAAAGGTATATAAACACATTTATTTAGATTCAAGCCCCAAACATCACAACCAGGGCTGGGCGTGGGCATGGAGAGCCTCGGCACCCACTCAGGATCCATCCCTTCCCAGGGCTAGAGCCGTCAAAACAGGCTAGCCCACTGCCCACCTCAACCAACAGCTGGCTGGTGAGAGTAAGCTGGCCCACAGCAGGGTGGGCTAAAATTTACCCAACCCAACCACTAGTTGGTGGCGAGTTAACAGGCCAACCACAGGCATTTTTGCAATACAAGAAATTAGAAGATCATAAGAAATGAAATTGGAGTAATTATCCAAGATAACTACTTAATCTCATCCATTAACACGAGGTAACTTCAATCACATAACAATGTATATAAATGCATAAGAACCAAATCAGTAATCACAGAGACGAAGGCTTTCAATTGAATGGATTCATAGAACACACGTAAGAATAGAAAATGCGGACCAAAATTTGGATCCATTCCCAACATACAAAAACTGAGAAAAAAAAATCACAGAATCAATTCCAACCAGAGAAATAAGTAGAAGGCGAAACCTACCATTGGCACCATAACAGAATGCACACAAACAATTAAAATCAAACTCTTCATAGTCACATGGAAAAGATTCCTAGAATGATCTAAAATCATCACAGTTAATTACAACTAACACAAAACAATTCAAACCCCAAATAGCAGTAGCAGCCCCGGCATTGAAATCGATAATAGAAAGTAAATCAAAATCATTGTACTTACAAAGCTTTCTATTAAACCGTAGAAGGAAAAGATGCTAAGACGACGACCACAACGAAGCTGCGAGAAGTCGGAGAAGAAGAATAACGCACGAAGCCAGAGGAGAAGAAGACGACGGTAGGAAACGAATCTTGGAAGTTGGAAGTTTGGGGAAAAGAAAGAAGACGACGAAGGTATGGAGACGGTGGATCTGAAACGAAGCGCAGAAAGATGGACGAAGAGTCTAGATTCGGGAAAATGGAATATATATTGTGCAATGTGTAAAAGACTGACGTACTGTTTTTTATATCTAAAATAATTAACTAATATCTACACGAAAGTTTAGTTAAAATATAAAAAAAAAAAAATGTAACGGTGTTTAATAGGAAAATATAAAAAAAATCATTACAATTTTTTTTTTTTTGTTTTTATTTATCTTTTAAAGTTTTAGAAATAATATTACAATATATATTTTCGTTTTTAGTATTTAATTTTTATAAATTTTTTAGATTGTATTATTTTAATTTAACAAAAATCACATTTAATTTATTATTTAAATATTTTTATGTTTTTTTTAAAAAATTATATTAAAATATGATCTTACAAAAATATTGTACTCTCTCCTTTTTCGGTGCAAGGTTGTCATTTATTTTTTGCTCGTAGATTTTTGTGTAATATAAAAGTAATGACTTTTGTGTAATAAAATGTAAATTGAAAGGGTATTTATTATATTAAATAGAACGAAAATAAAAATAAAAAATGACAATCTTTCGATGAACTGAAAAATATATAATTTATAATTTTTTTAAAAAATTTACCAGATATATTTTTTCATTAATTATCACTGGTTAAAACTCATTTTGTTCTATTAAATCTCATTCTCTCCTCAATCCCTTTTTTTTTTTCGATTTTATTTTCTATTCTCATATTTCTGTGTAATTTCATTGTAAGTACGAAACGCCCCAACAAATAAATTTTCATATAAAATGAAAATGTAAAACTATGTAAAAGCACAAAACAAACAAACTATTTCAGAATTTTTATTTATCAACCTTTTAATTTACGCATATACCCATTATTTTTATTAGTTAATCTTAATAAAAAAAATTGTAAATATACTTATAAATGATTATTTTCTCTGATTTAAATAAATTAATATATTTATAATTTTAAAAATTTAGAAATTAGTGTTTTGAAAATCGTTGGCACTTAAGTCTATGTAGATAAAACATAGTTAAGTTAAATAAGAACGGTCCAGACAAAAAACTTATGAAATCAGCGAAATTAATTAGGTCTTTTTTTTAAGAAAAAAAAAACAGCGAAAATCGTGGTTGATCCACGAAATCGTGTTTTAACTTACCGACCGACGTAGCGATTTGTTTCCGGCGAGTCAACCAGAATTTCAAACGAAGGCGGAACTCAAACCCTCCATTTTAACCAAATTTAATAAACGTACTTCACGTCCGCGGCGGACTCCAAGACGCGCACTCACACACTCGACTCCAATGCTCTCTCTCAACTAGCGGAGGATCGATTCGACCTTGTATCGATTCGCTTATGCTGTGTTAGCTGCGCCAGGATGCAGGTGTTGAGTTGAATTGTCGAAGTATCTTTTACTGTTTCGTGAGATTGAGCCGCCGTAAATCAGGAATTCTTCCAAAGCTGGCTATGGATTATGAGCCCTACGACAGCAGTGGTCAGTGCTTGAGCCGAAGTTTCGCATTATTTTGCGTTAATTTCGCTTTCGTAGTCATTTTTATTTGCCTTTTGAGCTGGGATTTGTGGATGAATGATGAAATTAGGGTTTCTGAAGCTCTATACGCATTCCTGTAACAATGCCTTTTGTGGGATTGGTTTGTGATGGCGGTTGGGGTTTAGGTTATGATATTCGCTTGTAAGAGCCAATTTTGCTGATTTTTGTTGATTGCCCGTTCTCTCCAATCATTATTAGCTTTTCTGTTGTTTGGAACTGTAAGCTACGTTCTTTTATGGAAGATATGGATTTGAGTATGTTCTAATTATGGTTCTTATCCGTTTGTTGATCTTATAGTGGACATTATAATGAATCACATTACTCTTGTCACTGATTTATTGTATGTTGCTCAAGTTCACTTGCATACATAACCTGAGTATGTCATCATTACATTCGTGTTTACACCTTGAAAGGATGTGTTTCGATTTTCCCCAATATTGCATTGTTTCCTTGTAGGCTGGTTTTTACAATTTCAGGTAATTAAGATAGATGTTTGTGGTAGTTTCCTACTTTCCTTATGTTATGTTGCTCAAGTTCACTTGCATAGATAACCTGATTATCTGTATCTTATCATATTGTTCACTGCTCACGACAAAAGGATGTCTTTTCCATTTTTAACATCATTACATTATTTCCTTTTGGGCTGGTTTGTTACAATTTGAGGTAATTATGCTACGTGTTTGCGATAATGGCCCTACCTGTTTGGGGGTTTTTGGTGGGTGCGATTTATGGAAACTATTAATTAAAGATTTCACTTTTATGTTTCCACAGGAACCGATGACGATTTCCCTCCACCACATCAAAATAGAATTTCAAGAGGAGGTCGCATTTCAGGGAATGGAAGGCCTGCTCCAATGGCTTCCATGCCGTATCCCAGGATGTACGATGAGACTGATATGGAAGCTAAAATTCACCAGCTTGAGCAAGAAGCATACAGTTCGGTTCTAAGAGCGTTTAAAGCCCAAGCAGATGCTATTACATGGGTACATACTCTTTTATGATCATCTCGTTCATGGCTCATTCTGTCTTTTGGTCCCATTCATTTGATCAAGTTAAATGGTATTGAATGTATCATTTTAGGAGAAGGAAGGTTTGATAACTGAGCTTAGGAAAGAGCTGAGATTGTCAAATGAAGAACACAGGGATCTTCTAAGCAGAGTTAATGCAGATGAAACAATTCGAAGAATAAGGTTTTTTCTTCATGAAAACTGTTGTTTCCTTCCTTATTACTTATGTCTGGTTTTCTATCGTATTGAAGTGACACATTTTTTTTCCCTCACTCTCTATAATATTACCAAAATTTGATGCTCAGGGAATGGAGGCAGTCAGTTGGGCATCAACCGGGCATGCATGGTGCAGGTCAACCTGTCCATGAGCCCCTACCTAGTCCTTCCATCTCAGCTTCTCGGAAAAAACAGAAGATAGGCTCTTCATTACCTACACAGTCTTTTGGTGGGCCATCTTCTTTCCATCCGCAAACAATGGCTGCAGCAAACCAACCATCTTCATCTGCAGCAAAGCGAGGACCGATGATGGGTGCAAAAGGCAAAAAGCATAAATCAGTGAGTTTGAGATTTCATTTTCGAAGTTCAGCTTTTGCACTCATCACATGATGCTAATTTCAGGTTATTATCTGATTTACTGAGCAGCTGCCTTCAGGAACATCCTCAATGAAAATGCAGTATCCCCCTGGTCCGGCTGGGAGAGGTCAATTTGGCAACCGCATTGCTCCTCCTGGCCTTGGAACTGAACCTGTAGAAGGAGCTTCATTTGATCCATTGATTGGAAGGAAAGTAAGAACTAGGTGGCCTGATGATAATAATTTTTATGAAGCTGTGATAACTGATTACAATCCTGTTGAGGTATGTTTAACTTATTATAGTTTTCTTATGCCTTGTTTATGCTTGTTTGTGTCTTATATTGTTTCAGTACGCTTTTCCAGGGTCGCCATGCACTTGTTTATGATATGGGCAGTGCTAATGAAACATGGGAATGGGTCAACCTTTCTGAGGTGTTAATACATGCTCTGTATTCTTTACTAGAACTGTTTTTATTATCTATATCATGGCTGCATTGTTAGTATTAATGTTTCTTGCATGTTGGATGCTATGAACTTAGTTCTCTACTAATTTCACTGATGTCTGAAATAGTAATGCTGCATGCACTTACATGTAAGAATACGGTGCATTTTCTATTTAAATTATGGGAGGGCATCACTCAGCTACTCTGGATAAATTTTTTAGAGCATTTGGTGTCGGTGTCTGCTATGTACTTCTATGGAAGCTTGTGCAAATTTCAATTTCTTACATTGTTTACATCTTGTATTCAAACATTTATAAAACTATGTTCTACAGTAGATGATAAATTGGCTTTACATGTTTCTATCAATTTGTTCAGTAAATCTATGAACTGCAGCGAGGATCGAAACTTAATCTGTGAATTTGTTAAGGAGTGCTTGGAATTCAGTCATTTATCTGTTGCAAAGCACAATTCAATTGTTCAACAAGGATCGACTTGCAGCACATTCATTCTGGTTTCAGCAGTGTAAAAATGACAATATTTTCATGCAGATAGTTTATTTTATCCATGCAGATTTCTCCGGAGGATATACAGTGGGTAGGTGAAGATCCTGGAATTTCTCACCATGGAGGATATGGTGGACCAGGCCATGGAACGAATAGACCTCTCGGGCGGGACAATGCTCCAGGTGCAGGAAGGGGAAGGGGGTTGACAAAAAGTCAATCAAGAAAGGACTTTCCTCAAACGCAGAATGGCATTGGGAAGAAAGGGCCTGATGACATTCAGCTGCTTCACACCGATACTCTAATCAAAGAGGTAGTGAGACCTGGTGTATTACATGGACTCATGCTAGTGAACATGCTTTAACATCTGAAGTTTGGCAGGTTGAGAGGGTTTTTGGGGCTAATAATCCGGACCCTGCAGAGATAGATAAAGCGAAAAAAGTTCTAAAGGTGATACAGCAATTTAACATCAGCCATTAGACCTCGTCCAATTTTGCTATATTTGGTGTATTTATCATTATATTTACCTTGTGGTGGATAATCAGGAGCATGAGCTGGCACTCACTGATGCTATTGCAAGGCTTGGAGATTTATCTGATGGTGAGAGTGGTATGTTTTTGCGGTGTCATTATCTATTCGCTGCAGCTTTTCCTTTTTTACGTGCTTGGATTTTGAAAACTGCTATTCGTACCATCGTGAATCTCAGTCCCAACTTTATACATGGCTACATTATCCATCCTATACAGTTGGAGTTTTGCATTCAGTGATTTTCACAACTACTACACATTCTTGTTTATAAAAACTCTGTAACAGATGAGGGTGGGCGGTTTTCACATGCGCAAGGAATGGACAGAGAATGATGAAGGCAATGGATGACGGCAGGGGCATTGTGCCCGGGCTGGGCTAAGGCTGATTGGTAGGTTCTCTGATTGTTATCTTTATGGTGAAGCCCAGATTGTGGAAGTCTGTTGTATAATGTTATATACATGCATATGTTTATATATATATATATATAGATACAAGCGCGCGCATGATTTGAGTTGGAATTGAGTAATATTGGGATGATTAGTGAATTAGGGATAGCAGGGTGGGGTTGCCCTTTGTTAGCCCTTTTAGCTTTCAGTTTATATAATTATGTTGCTGCATTAACTTGTGCTCATGTAAATTACATCTTTTGTCTTTTTTGATCCATGTTTGCTTACATCTTCACTCTGTTTTTATTTCTTCGAAGTTACTGAAAATGCTTTGTTTTGTTTCTAGTTTAGCATACATGATTAAAGTGCATATATTCTTCATAGTAAACATGTTTTGGTGACTTATGAAGTGGTTCTTTAAATAGCAAATAGTTCTGAGCTTGAGGCCTATGTTAAGAAAGATGAAAGGGAATCCCTAGATGCAACTAAGGATGTGTTTGGTTTGCGGTAGTTTGTGTGATATTTTGTGAAAAAGATTACCACACATCCAAATAGTCGAGAAGAACTCGAAGGATTTGAAGGACATTGTAATTAGGATGATGATTATCACTATCATCACAATGCATAAATGTTGTTAGATAGTCTAAGCATTAGATTTAGTTTTTATAAGTTTGGTTGCAATTGAATTTGTGTTTCACTTATCTTAGTATCTCCCTTTTTTTAGATTAGTTTAGTTATTTGCTTTCAAGTGATCTAAGAATTCATATCATTGCCATTCTTCAATGTTTTGCCTTTTGTTAATCTTTTATTTAATCATAATGTTCTTCTTTTATTTACCCATTTTTATAACTAGTTGTAGGTAGTTGATTTATGATTTACTAGTGACATGGGGTGAAGGTAATACTCCCTCTGTCCTTTAACGATCTATTCATTTTTCTGTTTCGGTTCATCCATTAACAAAATATTCATTTTTTTTTTTTTAAAGTAATTGTACTGTCTATTTAACATTACAAATACTTTTTCAATTTACGATATATTACACAAATATCATTACATTTATATCATACAATGTTAATTTAGTCCTTTTATTTTTATTTTTACTTTATTTCAATATAATAGTAATATTTTTAAAACTCCATGTTTGATCTTGCTATGGGTTTATCACTTTATTTTATTATTATTATTATTATTGTTATTATTATTCAAAAAATAGTTTAGGAGCTAAAGTTTAGGGTTGTTTTGTTGTAATATATATTTAATTAAAAATAAGTTTATAATGTATTTTGAATATTTTTAAAAACTATGCTATAAGATATATTCAGTTTAAATATTATTTTGTATAAAATAAAATTTTATAAAGTAATTTTACCTTAAAAAAAAATATCAGAGAAATAAGAGGGACATGGGAAATTAAAAAATTAAAACACACTGGACTTTTATTTTGTTATATTTGTATTAAACAATAATAGTATTATAATATAAAAATAAAATTAAAAAAATAAAATGAGAGTATTATTGCAAAATTATTAAAAAGTTAATAAAAAAACAATTGAATAAATAAAAAAGAATAGGATAAAATTATTATTAATTTTAAAATAGAAATAATATAGTTGTGGGTAAATAAAATTATTTATTGTAATTGGATCGTGCGTGCATATTTTATACCACTCCTTCCGCTAAATATCTTTCAAATGTAAGCTCATTTGGATTTCTGGGTTGAATGTAGATTTTATTAATATAAATTATATTAGTTGATTGTGAAATAAAATATAAGTAAAATATACTAGTGAGTAATAAAATAAAAAATAAAAAAATTAATAGATTAAATGTGTAAATAGATGTATTTTTGTAAATAATTATAATGCATAGTCCTTAATAAAAAAGACGGAATTCCAAAGAGACAATAGTTTCAGTACACAATCATCGTCAATATACCAATACATAAACGTTGACAACATCGATCATCCAAACATACTTACAACACATAATCAAATAAATAAGAACTTACCAAAACGATCGAAAAAACGTATACTAATCTTCCGACCAAGTAATATCCATCTCCCCCCAGTTATCCTCCGGAACCCCTAAAGCTTTCCACACGGCCTTCGACGCATCCACGATATTATTACGACATGGCGGCTGATAATCGTGATCGTCGTCGCACCCCATCGTGGAATCGCACTCGTCCACCACCATCGCCGCCACGCTCCGCCCATTACCACTTATAGTAATATTATTATGGCACCGCCGCCCCCCACTATACCATCCGGTCGACAGGGCCACCACCGGAATATTATCCGAGTGGTACTTATTGTCGCATTCCGATGGCCCCCCTCCGTCACCATTTTTCTCGAAACTATTCAGCGTAAGAGTCGCTCCGGTGCTTCCCGACACCGGCGGTGAGCACTTGTACGTCGTGTAGAATTTCCCATCCTTACAACAATCAGAATCGTTTTCTTGATTGCATTGTCCCGGCGGCGGCGTCGTGCCCTTTATTTTCCCGCTCGGCTTGCACGATCGAAGCCTCGCTTCCGCCGCCGTCGTCGCAGCGGCGGCGATGATGAGGATAAGGAGAAGAGATTTGTTGGTGATGCTGTTCATGATAGTACAATTTTGATAGTTTTTTTTTTTTCTTTGAATTGGGATAAGTTTTTAAGATGGATGTTTATGTTTATATAGAGTTTTGTAGTGTGTAAAAATCCAATGAAGTGATCAAACCCATTTGGATAATGGAATAATAGTTTTCATGTTAATCCAGATTAGGGTTCCAAAGTGAAGTATATGTGTTCTTTGTTATTATAAAAATAAATAAATAAATAAAAATAAAATTGCAATAATAAAAATTTTGAATTTTGAAAAAAAGAAAATTGGATGAATAGTAAATTTTTAGCAAACTTTTTCGAACAAACACATGTTTTAGAATTTAGAATAATTTTTTTTAATGGTAAAAATTGGGTTTGTGAGAAAAAAATAAAAACTAAAAAAAATGGTTGATCAGCACCTAAGAAGTATTTAATTATTTATGTAAATAGAGTTGTGCCTTTGGGTTTAAATTAAAAATAAAAAATAAAAATTATTCTGAATTTTGAATTTAAATAATATTTAATAATTTTTTTTTCTGTAAAATATGAGATTTAAATGATAAAATAAAATTAAAAAATATGATGTAGAAATACATTATGAATATATTTTAAAAAAAATGATATGTTACAAGATAACTAATAAATAAATAATAATTAATAGTTTCAATGAAGTTAAAATTTATAGATAAATATTAGTGTGTTTAATTAAATATATAATTTTAATTTTTTTTATTTGAATATAATACTTTATAATATAAACTAATATCTTTTTAAAAAAATCATAGTAAAAAAAAATAAATGAATAGACCCAACATATATATATATATATATATATATATTTCTGCATTTAATTTAAATAAAAAAGCATAGCTTGGTTGGAGTGTTGGTTCTGGCCTTGCATCTATGTTCACTCAGTTGGTATAGCGTTTCTCTCTTCTCAAGCATGATCTATGTGGACGGATCTCCGTTTACTCCCGATGACTCATCTCAGGTATTGTTGCCTCCACTATAAGTTTTTTCGCCTCGCTCCATGATTTGAAGCAGAAGACTGTATTCGTGTCACAATCTTACGGTTTTTATTCTTAATCAAGGTGTTTATGAAATATATTAGCTATATCTTTGTTCGATTATTGATATTGGGATCTAATTTCGCTATTTTGTGGTCTGTTGTTGGTTTATCTAGAACTCAAGAACATTATCGTGTATGTTGCGTGTTTTTTAAATGTGGCATTTTAGGATTTTTGCTGTTTCAGTTGAGGACTTGCCATAGTAATTGTGAATTACAGCAATAGACTTCTATTAAGAATTTTTGATAGATTCGAAAATAGAGCAGCCTTGTAAGTGTTATTTTTGTGGAGTTTTAGGTATTTCTATGTTGTGCTCTGGATTTGTTTTGAGGATATCGCTGGAACAAGGCTCATTTTCTCTTTTTTGTTAAGAAGAAGAAGAAGAAGAAATGCATGATTTGGTGAAGTGATATGACCGGAACATAAACTGGGAAGGAATTATATGTATCCCATGTGAAAAATGTTGTTTACTTCACTGGTAGGAATATTTTTTGTCTTTTTAACAATATGGTATTGATGTCCACCAAGTTCTAACCCTATGTATGTATGATTTTTATTCTATTTTTAACCGTATGGAATTTGAAAGCAGATTGTGCCTTAGGATCATCTCATAATTTACTCATTCTGCTAAGAAAATCAATTGATAAGTGTAAAACAGGTTGCTTCAATTTTATTAATATAGCCTGCATTTAATCAAGTTGTTCAGTTTACATTCCAATCTGTTGTTTGCTCGAATTCTTCTAGAGCTCATTGAGTATTGTTTAATTATAATTTCACCTCAATCAGGGTCGGAACATTTTTGGGCTCTGTTATAACTGTAATTTAAGCATTTTTCCTTCTTAAAAATGACTTTGTATTTCCTACCAACAGCTTGATATATCTATTATGTTTTATGGGTGTTCAATTAATCATTTTGTGATCATACAGGGTATGGATACTTTGGTTGCTTTAATGGAGCATCCACTATTGGTGTCTGCTTCAAACACTTTCAACACTGTGGTAGAGAAGAATATCTCAATATCTGGAAATTCTAGTTCAGTAACATCAAGTGTTGGCAAATTGGTCTACATCTTCCAAAGGGAATATGCAACTGTTGATCCTACATTGGTGGATGTATGTTTTCTTTCTTTTTTAGCCTAAAATATGATGCATTATAATTTTTCCATCTTATTGTTGACCATGATTAATGGATAAATGTAGTTGAAATTAGACATCCAGCACTGAATAATTTTTGAAAAGTTTATAGGCAAAGATAATAAGGAGAACAATTCATGCCCTTTGGCTCTCTGGTGCTTCTTAATTTTCTAGTGCCTAAAACTTTTTAGTTAGTGTCCAGGATATCCTTGCTTCTTTTAAAGTCACATTATTGTTGACATTAGGACATTGGTAAATAGTTTGACATTGAGAAATTATTTATTCTTCATGAATTTTAGTGGTTCTGCTGAAAAAATGTAAGTTACAGTATATAATCTGGAAGATGTAAGTGGGTTGTGATTCGTGGCATTAGGAGTTAGTCTGCTTTAAGTGATTTATGGAATTGAACACACTTTTGTAACAGTCCTGACTCAACTTTCTGCTGTTGCCCGTAAAACTGAACCAAGGGCCTGGTGAATGCCTCCATAAACTTGTTCTCATACTTGATTAAGCTGAAATGCATTAGTACCATTACTTGAAAATATTGTGATTATTTTAATATCATTTCTTAACAACATTTTAGTTTCTTACTTTCTTATGATTTTTTGCATTGTTGCATAGTCCTGGCTTGCAGTATATTGAAATATGTAGAAATGAGAGAATAAATTTATTTCTTTTGCTTAGAAATCTATAGAACTTGTATCACCCTTATTAGAAAAACTCCCTTCCGGAAAATCAATGCAACTTTGAATTTTGATTTATCAAATACTTCATATACTAATAGTTAGGGATTTGTTCACTTCTCTTTTCAGTTTTACTATTCAATATCTCATTTCTCACAAATAAATAAATAATAACATGCAACACTCATTTTCTATATAAAATATCACATCCAACACCTATTTTTAATCTGTAACGAATGGCGAATGAATATAATAGGTCTTGCACATTATATTTAGTCATCAATGCTTATTACTTTTCCTATTCGTAAAATGATTCCAGTCCAATAACCTGGTGGAGCATTTTATTGTTCCATCTTTTTTTTTCTTACATGCTTGCGCTGCTCTGAACTATATTTACTGTTTTCCCTTGTTTCAAGGTAGTTGGTACTGATGAGGCAACAACATGTGTTGGTGTTGCCATAAGAAATCGCAAAAGCAGAATGTAAGTCCAACTGGGAAGATACCGAACTTTGAACTCAATGATATTGTGGTGAATAGGTTATACAAACTTCAACTTGATTGCAGGATATCTGCTGCTCATATGGATTCCCCAGAGGTGGTGAATAATGGCCTAACTCAAATGCTATCTTTAGTTGCTGATCAAGACCCCGATGCTCTATATGATGTATGTCTAGTATCTTATTCTGCTTGTTGTGATTCTTATACATACAGTTTGTCATTTCCAAGGTGTAACATGTGCACAATCATGTCGTGCAGGTGCATTTGATCGGTGGGTTTGATGACATCTCACCTCAAGTCTGGTCAAATTCCTTGCTTTGCATTTTCCTTGGCAGAGATTTGCATTTTGGAACATATTTTAAAGTTGTCGAAACTTTTTGCAGCATTCAAATCATAGAAAAATTCAAACGGAACTCGAAGGGTATTCCTATCCTTTGTGTGCAAAGATAGTTGAATCCCTGAGGAATCGAAGTGAAAAGTTTCAGATTGGAACTCTTCATATTCTTTGGCACAACACCAAATGGGATTCTAAAGGAATTGCATCCCCCATCTTTCATGGATTTGTGGTTAGTTTCAGCTTCTGGTAGATTAATGTTCTCTATCAGCTTTCATATCTTTGGCAATATATATATATATGTTCAAATGTATTTAGAAGTAATATAATATATTTATGATAGTTATCTTATTTAAGAGATTTGTATGATTTTTGTCTTATTTAGACGATTTGTATATCACTATATAAATATGTATGTATTCTTACGATTGAAATAGAGAATTTTAATTTCATATTCTAACATGGTATCAGAGCCAATAAAGTCGAAACAGAATTCTCAACGGCATTAGAGCCGAAAGTAGACTGGAGTAGTAGAGACAGAGACAACATGAAAATACTAGGATGACCGTGAATAAAAGAAGATACATCAATAAAATATAAAACTATATATGAGATATAACGGGTCATGGATATACTTGGAGAGAATTTGGCTCTGATACCATGTTGGAACATGAAACTGAAATTCTTTATTTTAATCATAAGAATCCGTATATATTTATAGTGATATACAAATCATTTAAATAAGGCAAAAAATCCTATTAATCTCTTAAATAAAATAACTACTATAAATATAATATATTACTTTTAAATATATTTTAACAATATATATATCTCTTTAGTTAGTTTATAATTCCAATAAAACCTGTATGTGTAATTCAATTGCTTATTGAAGTTGATGTCACCGTCACATTAGTTTCATGGCTGTTGATTTATATCTCTCTTCAATTTTTTTGAAATTGTATTTTCTTAGGCATTGTCACTATTTTCCTCTGCATATGTTTCCTCAGGTGGAAACCTCCACAGGGGTGATCATCCCAGCCTGCTTCGACAAAACTACAAGATGCCCTGATGAAATTGTCCGAAGAATTCGAGTGACAGCAAATTTCGAAGATCCTACTTGGAGTGGAAGGTTACTGGACACTTACGACACCAGCACTGACCGTGTCGCCATTGCTCCATGTGTTTGGTGAGAACTCATCAATTTTCTTCAATGGCAGCAGGCCCTATATCGTACAGACTCCATATTTTTTCGTAACATTTTTTGTGCAGTCTCGTATTTCGGTATTTCCAGTAGTAACTCTGCAAAACTTATAGTCCTCTCTTCTGCCAGGACCATGAGGCAGAAGCGCATTGCTATGAAACTTCAGAGCCTTTCCGATGCAGAAATACTATTATTCTGCTCGTCCTCACCTTCAGCTGAGGGTCCCGAGTTCGTGGATAATGAGAGGAGGTAACATCCATCATTTTTCCTTGAATCACGACAATGATAATTTAAGGGTAAACTAATATTTCTAATTCCATAACTAGATCTCTTTATCATATTTTAGTCGTGTAATTGAAGCATGTTGCAAACTAGTCTTATAAGTAGAATTTTTTTGCAATTCACATAGATTTTTTCTAAAAAAAAAAATTATAAAATTATTTATTGTCTTTTTTGAAAAATTAAGAATTTTCAAATTTTAAAAATTAAAAAAATAAAAATCCAGGTGTCGTTTACCTGGTGGACACGTCTTCTCCGGTGAACCATATTGGTGTCACGCAGGCATCTCTGGCGCCGGAGGATTAAAAAATACGAAATTTTTTCACTTACAGGACTAATTTGCGACAGGTTTCAATTACTGGACTAAAATGATAAAGGAGTCCAGTTACGAGACTAAAATGATAAAAGAGTCCAGTTACGAGACTAAAATGATAAAAGTGTCCATTTACGAAACTAAGAAATCAGTTTACTCTAGATTTTAAATGCAAAGGTTTTCGGTAATATTTACGTAGTAGATTGCAATGTACTATGATAATGGCTTTTGTTCTGCAATTGCTATGCTGTGGCTTGGTAATATGAATACATGAAGTTATGTCGAAAAAGTTTCTTGAATCTCGTAGGAAGTGGGATTACTTGATCCGACACCCGGACTGGACCGAAGCTTTCCCACATAGGCAGCCCCGGGTGTTTGAGAGGACTGTCGACGGAACCTGGGCGCGCATCGATCCCTTCGAGTAAGTAAGTAATTTTTATGTGCATTTCTTTAACTGCCTCTGGATTTCATTTTAAGCATGTGACTATTAGCTGCATGCCAAATGACAAATTTGCTTAACTGTGAATTAATTGAATGTGTTTATCAGTAGCTTAATTGACTTTTTTAGGTATATTGAATTATGTAAGGTGTCTAAATATATAAGATAGATATTGAATTATAAACATCTCAGGGTAATAATAGTAGTGTTCCTAAGGAATAAAATATAGATAGTCCTCGACATTATTTAACCAAATGATAGATTTTTGACCGTTAAGTGATTTATGCGACAAAATGTGATATTTAGTATAATATAAAAAATAAAAAATAGACATTTGATTTCCGAAGAAAAATTAAAAAATAGATGACGAATAGTGAAAATTGGTTTGATGATTTTGAAACAAACACACCCTAAATATGTGAATTATCTGAGATATTGAAAAAAAGATCATAGGTAAATAACAAATTTCTAACCATTACCATTAAGGTCCGGTTAAAAGATATATATATTTTATTCTATACACAAATAAATAAATGTATGTCCTAGATAAAATATATACGTGAAAAAGTTTGTTTTTTCCAATCAACAGATAAAATATATGTCCTCATAAAAATATATATATATAGGATTTTTTTATTTTTTTTAATCTCGTAATTAATTTTATTATTTTAATTTTGTAATTAGAGCGTGTATACAAATTGTTTCGGAAGTGAAATTTTTTGCTGATTGATTCCGCGGCGCCGTGATACGCCAAAAACACTTGTCTTCTCAGGCGGGACATGAAATTTTGTGTGTTTGTTTGGGAGATTGGATTGGATTTACACTATTCATCCGAAATTTTCCCTTAAAAAACATCAAATCAAACATCTATTTTTCATTTTTTTATATTATACTAAAAATCAATTTTACATTCAAAACATCACATCAATGCCTATTTATTTATATCATATCATACAATTATTCAAATTCAAAATTTTTACTATTCAAATCTCAATTCAAAATCCAATCCCCCAAACAAACACACCCAATGGGATTTGTCTGTGTTTAAGTAAATTCTCACCATGTTTCATCGCATTGAAATACATACATTACAGGCCATCAATTTTCTCCTACTTCCCATTACATGCTTTGTCTCCCTTTGACCCTAAAACTTAAAAATCATTTAAAATTTCCCATTTGACATGATGATTTGGTATCAAAGTCAATCATATATATATATCCAAAAGGGGTTGGTTGGGTGTGCTTGCCAATCAAGAACCATTCAAATATTACACAAGCTTGATAGGATCAAATCAGTACACAATAATATAATATATTGTATATATTTTGACATCACATAAGATAATTATATATAGTACAACGATATATTATTGATTTTAGCATAAGAATTATATTTATGCAACACAATATATCACGATCTTCTATATAATACATAATTATATTGTGATGTATACAAACATGCAATGTCCCTTTTTATATTATATCTTATAAATACGAGTTTGTACGGATCTGCCACTTGAAAAGTCTATCTTGCTCCTCATTTCAAAAATGACAATTTAGCCCTTAACCTATCTTTGTACTGGCTTGAAAAGACGTTTTGGAACCGTCGTCAGCAACCGCCGTCAACCGCCCAAGACGAAACGTTTTGGAACGTCGTCTGGTCGGTTACATCAACCGCCTCGCCAAACGCCTCCACCAGTTCCAGAACTCAAATAGCCCAACCAACCAATCCAGAGACCAATCGGTAGACCAAAAGACTCCTTGGCCGCACCCACCAAGCGACCTGTCTATCCGCCTGCGGACCAGCTGACTTGCCTATGCGACCGCAGACCAGCCGACCTACTTTATCCGACCGCAGACCATCAGAAATGTCTGTCCGACCTTCTGACCATCAAACCTGTCTGTCCGAACGCTAACCATCCGACCGAGGACCTTCCGACTTGCCTATCCGACCGCTAACCAACCGACCTGATCATCCGACCGAGGACCAACCGACCAGACCAACCAACCGAGGACCTTCCAACCTGCCTATCCGACCGCTAACCAACCTACCTGACCATCCGACCAACCGACCCGAGCACAAATTTTTCTCCTTTTCCACCCGACTTCGTGTCTAACTTCCTTTAAGATCCTGCTATCCTTATTTTTATTATTATTATTATTATTATTATTTGTGCGTAACAATTATCAAAGTTGAAATATCCTTGCTATTTTTGACATTTCAAAACTCATAAAGAGATGCAGGGTCACCCTTCTTATCTCAGTCTATCCGCCTGCGGACCAGCTGACTTGCCTATCCGACTGCAAACCACCATCAGACATGTCTGTCAGACCGCTAACCATCCTACCGAGGACCAGCCGACCATACCAACCGACCGAGGACCTTCCGACCTGCCTATCCGACCGCTAACCAACCGACCTGATCATCCGACCGAGGACCAACCGACCGATGACCTTCCGACCTAAGTGCAAATTTTTCTCCTTTTCCACCCGACTTCGTGTCTAACTTCCTTTAAGATCCTGCTATCCTTATTTTTATTTTTATTATTATTATTTTTTGTGCGTAACAATTATCAAAGTTGAAATACCCTTGCTATTTTTGACATTTCAAAACTCATAAAGAGATGCAGGGTCACCCTTCTTATCTCAGTCTATCCGCCTACGGACCAGCTGACTTGCCTATCCGATCGCAGACCAGTCGACCTACTTTATCCGACCGCAGACCATGAGACCTGTCTGTCCGACCGCTAACCATCCGACCGATGACCAACCGACCAAGGAACTTCCGACCTGCCTATCCGACCGCTAAACAACCGACCTGATCATCCGACCGAGGACCTTCCGACCTGCCTATCCGACCGCTAACCAACCCATCTGACCATCCGACCAACCGACCTGACCAACCGACTTAAGCACAAATTTTTCTCCTTTTTCATCCGACTTCATGTCTAACTTCCTTTAAGATCCTGCTATCCTTATTTTTATTATTATTATTATTTTTTGTGCGTAACAATTATCAGAGTTAAAATATCCTTGCTATTTTTGACATTTCAAAACTCATAAAGAGATGCAGGGTCACCCTTCTTATCTCAATCTATCCTTCTGCGGACTAGCTGACTTGCCTATCCGACCGCAGACCAGCCGACCTACTTTATCCGACCGCAGATCATCAGACCTATCTGTCCGACCGCTAACCATCCGACCGAGGACCAACCGACCGAGGACCTTCCGACCTGCCTATCCCACCGCTAACCAACCGACCAAACCAACCGACCGAGGACCTTCCGACCTGCCTATCCGACCGCTAACCAACCCACCTGACCATCCGACCAACCAACCTGACTAACCGACCTGAGCGCAAATTTTTCTCCATTTCCACCCGACTTTGTATCTAACTTCCTTTAAGATCCTGCTATCCTTATTATTATTATTATTATTTTTTGTGCGTAACAATTATCAAAGTTGAAATATCCTTGCTATTTTTGACATTTCAAAACTCATAGAGAGATGCAGGGTCACCCTTCTTATCTCAATCTATCTGCCTGCGGACTAGCTAACTTGCCTATCCGACCGCAGACCAGCCGACCTACTTTATCCGACCGCAGACCATCAGACCTGTCTGTCCGACCTGCTGACCATCAAACCTGTCTGTCCGACCGCTAACCATCCGACCAGACCAACCGACCGAGGACCTTCCGACCTGTCTATCCCACCGCTAACCAACCGACCGAGGACCAACCGACCAGACCAACCGACCGAGGACCTTCCGACCTGCCTATCCGACAGCTAACCAACCCACCAGACCAACCGACCTGACCAACCGACCTGAGCGCAAATAATTCAATTGTATTTTTGTTTTACAGTTTATATTTTAAATAAATAATGTTTCACTACATTACATTATAGAATAGTCGCGCGGTATACCGCGCAAGAGCGTGTTATAGTATATATATCCTGATTGTGTTAAATCAGTGTCATGCTGATTGGATAGCGGTCGTCACAAATAATATATGATATAATAATAGACATTACATTATTTATATTTATATTAATATAATATAGATATTGAATATAAATATATAATACAACATATACTACTAGTAATTTTATACATAAAACATACTCCTCCGTCTTAATATAATAGTCTTATTTATTATTTTTATCCGTTTCAAAACAATAATCTTATTTTCATAAATAACCATATCACCATAAATTTACATCTACTTTTTCATTTTTATTACACAATTGCCATTACATTTTATAGACTCTAGAGGGTAAAAAAAAATTTCTCATACTTTTTACCAACTACCAATATAATATCAGTATTTGTTGAATCTCGTGTCCAACCTAATTAAGACTATATTTATGGGACGGAGGAAGTGTTTGTTTATTTATAATGTACTGATCTCACTATGTTAATTTGCTTGATTATATATACATGAAAATCTTCCTCCAAAGATTATGATTCATGATTCATGAATAATAACATTGTAATGGTTCCTATGATGAGAAGACAAGTAATATTTTTTTTACACAAAATTTTTTATATTATTATTTTTATTATTACATTAATCAATTATATTTATCTCCCCCTCATTATTTCTTAGTTGGAATTCGACTCAAAAGTATACATGGATTGTGCAAGTGCAAGCATCAAATAAATAAATAAATAAATTTATTAAGTTAGAGATGGAGGTTGTTCATCATCTTGTTTGAAATTAGAAATTAGTATTAGACTTGGATTTTTCAACCTGCCTCAAAAGTTTATAGTCAACTCAATAAAATATTCATCTTATTTTCCAAATTTAAAAACTTTTGTTTTTAAATTATATATAATTATGTTCTTGGAATGTTTGTTTTAATTATTAGCTGATCGAGCAATTTAATTTACTAAAATAATTATTTTATATAACATAGAATTTCATCGACGAATTAAAATAAATTAAATTAGAGTTTATATTGAGTTACTAATAAAATAGTGTATATACAGTAGAGAAATATATAGAGATGGCAAATTACATGTTTAATCTTATTTTTAATATGGGTTGTGTTTGTCCAGTGTTTTAGTTTGAGATATTTTTTTGATATGAAATATGAAAAATTGTGCCGATAATATATATAATAATATTTTTTGTTAAATATTGACTTATTTGTAAAATAATATAATATATCATCCTTCCGTCATAATTCAAAGTACTTTCTTTTTTTTTTTTTACCATTTTCGTATGTTACACTAAAAAAGTATTTATTTTTTATTTAGTATATACACGTAAATTAAGTAATA